AAAACTATGATATTTAGGTGACAATTCTTTATTATACTTCTGCTGTCATAATTTTACTTTTTATTCAGTTTTAAATGCCATATTACCATACTCTTGGTTGTTTTGCACTATATATTTATTTTAACCAGATGAACGATTTTAGTCACGAGATAGCAGGAGCTATCAAGGATCTTACCAAGGAAATAGCTGGGGATTCTGAGTTCTGCTATCATTTACTCCGAAAAAATATTTGTTTCTCCGAATCGAAGGGGAAAAATACAAAAGCATTGCACAGAATTTAAACCAATCAATGTTGTGTAATTAACAAGGATAATCTGGTGTTTTTTAGTCGATGAGTAGTGCAGATATCACTGTAAAATCAATCGACAGTAAGGGGAATACTTACTTCCGGGTGTACAATTCTCCGTTATCCAATGAGAATGGATGCTCACATTGCCTTTAAGGGCAGCCGACACAAACGAATGCCGTGCTTCCATGAGCGTCATTACCAGTAGAAATACATTGCTTTTAAAATCGTGCTGTGCAACACAAAAAAAAGGGTGAAATCGTGTTGGTGAACACGAATCAATAGATTAAAAATCGTGTTGGTGAACACGAATCAATAGATTACAAATCGTGTTGGTGAACACGAAATGCCATGAGACTGGGTTGGCATCCTATGTCTAGCAAACAGCATTAGAAAAACAACATGTTTTAACATGAGACTGCTTTATTCTGTGTTGTTAGAAGTTTTAATTACTCATACTTTGTTTTGGAGAAAATAATTCCTCTATTGTGCATTTAACTATTTAGCAATGTAGTGCTAATTGGAGACTAACAGACGAGCCATTTTCTGTTTTACAAATAAGGAAGATGTGCAAAAGAGATTTAAACTACATTTTGACTGAATGTCTTTAGTTTTCAACTTTTTTTGGAGAAACACAGAGTCAAAGTCTTGGTTTAATTAATTCGTCATTCTATTGTTTCAGAAACCAAGTGGATTATCCTGATCGCAGTCCTGGCATCAGTCGCCGCCATCGCAATTGTGACCGCCATTGTGTGCGCTTGCAGACGAAAATCCAAGTAAGTGTACACTGATATTATGGGCATTTATCAAAGCGTTTGTGTGTGGAAGGATGTGAATAGATGTGTGGTTCTGCGTGGCATGACTGCTGACTGACACTTCACAGCCAAAGGAAACTGCTGCTGTCCTCTACAGACTGAATACACTCTAACCAAGGCAAAGATAAATAAATCAAATGAATTTCATTGCAGGTCGTATGTTTATGTAATTCAGAGAAAGCAGTCGTCTCTATGGGGGTGAGATACAATTACAGTGTCATCACCTTTTTGGGGTATTTCTGGGAGCATACTGTATCAGCACTGAGGAGGAACTGACTTCACTCTACCTTTACTTTCTAACCATATCTACCACCTCCCCTGCAGGCACAAATGTTGTAATCACATTCATTTCTTTCAAACACTCACATCTGTTATCTTCTGTTCGCAGGAAAAGCAAGAGCAAGGGGAAAAAACTAAGCCTGACATCAGCAAGTAAGAATTGTCATTATTGTTCAAAGAAATTAGCCCAATTGAATGTCATGTTAGTCTTTTGAATAAAAAAGGGGAAGTAGATACAAGGATTTGCTTTATTAGGACCAATAGTCTCCTAATAAAGTGGTGCAGTCGTGAGCCCTTAAACCCGAAAGACTTTTTACCACTTCTTGTTGCCTCGTCACAAAGTCAATCGTTTTTTGAACGCATTTGTGGTTAAAAGGTCTCTGGTTAACACAAGCTTACGAGATTTTCGCGCTTTGTACTACGACATTAAATACGTCAACAACACTCCTAAAACTCGGAAAGGAGTTCGCATTTTATCACTTCTGGTTTCCTCATCACTTAAAGTAAATCGTTTTTGAACAGATTTGTGGTAAAGAGGTCTGTGATTAACATAAGCTTATGAGATTTTCAAGTTTTTTTCCACGACATAAAACACATCTCAATGTCTGAAGCTTCTACTTGTCATAAAAACCCTAACAAGTAACCAATTAAACTACCAAACGTCATCCAGCCGACACTAGCCCACTTTGAGCTTAGCGGTGGTAGCCGTGCGACCGTAATGTAGTTTGTTTATAGCACTATATTAGCTTTTATTTCTGCTGATTGCATATACGATTAAAAGAAATCACAAAGTGGCGTTAATATGTTGAGATTACTCTGCTGAACAAAACTTGTTAAGTATCAAAGACGTGTGTTGGCCACAAAACTTGTTGTATGCAATACACCGAAATGTTGACCTGTTGCTATGCTAATTTCCAAAATTATTTAATTCAAGGGGAATTTCCTAAAACGTTGACTTCCATTTAGGTTGAATGCCTGTAGACAGATTTCACTTCTTTATGAACATCTACAATAAAACATGTGATCAACTATCATATAATTACTGATGCGATCATGTGTGCAGTTCTAAAATCTATCTTTCTTTGTTTTTAGGTGTCCCATATGCAAACATAGATGAACCTAAGACTGAAAAAGTGACTTCATTGTGAGCTGTTTACCTGAATCTAACAAGCACCTGCTGTATGAGACCAAATGTGTTCTGAAGATAATTCAGCAGCAAGGAGGAATACAACTGAGAAATGAAGGAAGTGTTGTGAATATTATAGATATTGTTCATGTGTTTTGCTGTATTAACTTATGCTTTAAAGAATGTCATTTTAGTCAGATGTGTACGTTTAATTTACAGAAAAATTTGACTTTAAGTGTAATGTATTTTTTGGAATTAAATGCGTGCAGAAAAACGTGTTTGTCTTTGTTGAACAGTGTCATCGTTACAGAAAACAGTTACCCTTACCATTTCCATGTACAAATATAATCTTACTGGAAAAGTTTGTACTGTTTAGATTACATGCATATTCTTTTAAAAAATAACTTACAATTGATATAATCTCATCCTTATCATGATTTCTTTCCAAAGCTCATTGCAATAAGAGCTGGTAGGGTTGGCCGGACGTGACCATTGTCCCCAATTATTTGTCTCCTTATACATCCAATATATGGTTTATGCAAATCCACAGAAGAAACTTGAAGTCATGTTTCTGCTCAATCTTGACTCGCCGTTTGCTACACTGGGTTTTAGAGAGAGGGTTCTGCTGACACACCAGGGACACATATTCATGTGTAAAATGACATAAGAGGTGACCTTTAACCTCTTTGATTGTTTGGCTTGTGTGTCCAGTTTATTAGAGCACTACTGTTTATATCCCTTTTATTGAGTTTGTTAGTAAAACAACTTTATTTGACCAAGTCCACCTGGTTTTGTGTTGCTTACTTTTCCCTCAACGAGATGGGAAGTAACAGTATGTTTAAATGTCATCACTTACTCCTGCCGTAAAACAATGAGGATGAGAGAGGAACATTAGCTACTTTAAGACTACTTTGATAACATTTCTACAGAAACAACGTTTTTTTTAGAACAAAGTCGACGGACATGCTTCCTTTTTTGTAACTTCATGTTTGTATTATCTGAAGGCAAGTGTATGTGCATGTCAGTATATATAATATAATAATACTCTTGTGTTGTTGAGGACACAAGTGTTAAATCCATGACTAGATAAAGATACATCACTTTTTAATAGAGAAGCATGGTGTTTTCAGAATTCCTCCATTAGCTTGTATACCACATTGCTAAAAAAATAAATAAAAAAAAGGTACAATTGTATATCTCTTGACCCAGAGCCAGAGTAAATCTGCAAAGAGGTGATTAACAGGGAGGGCACACAATAAAGCGGTATAAATCAAAAACACATGAACAGCATGGCCAGCAATGCGTAAAGACGCACGCCACTCGCTCAAAGCACCAGCAACATACAAACCCACTTTGCAACCGCGCATTGAGTGCACGGCGGCTCAAACACCGGTAAACATCAGCGTGCATGAGCTTGTGTGTAAAGTCAAGAATTCACACCACATCAGCAGGTTTGCTTGGGCCTTACTCTTGGCCAGCTGCAGCAAACAGATCCACACCATAGAGCCACACCACATTACGCACCAAGCAGCAGGAGATCAAGTTAATATGGAAACAGTGTACTCACCGCTCGATGCTAAAGCAGCTGGAGACTCCGTTTCCCTGTTGTATACAAGTAGTTAAAACTTACTGTTTTAAGTTGTTTCCTGATGTCCATTACTTAAAACGTAAAAATAATTTAAAGCCACATACTCCAAACTCAGAACAGGTGGCACAGTGTAACGCACGCAAACTTGCTTGCGTGATGTTCTGAATGGCGATTGGTCTAAATGTGGCCTGCTCATATATAGTCAGTGGTGTAAAGTAACTAAGTATATTTACTCACGCACTTAATTACCATTTTGAGATACTTGTGCTTTACTTGAGTATGTCCATTTTTCAGAGGTAAATGGTGTCGGCCTACTTTTACTCCACTACATGTATTTAATACCTTTAGTTACTTCACAGATGTGGATGAATGATGTGAAATGTGAAAGTGTTGAATCAGACTTTAGTTCCACCTGGAGTAAATCCACCAGCTACCCTGCAGTATACAAAGTCATTCAGACTAGCTGCACCTTTACCAGCTTTGAGAACACTTTCATGATCAATCATTATAAAACATATCATATATATTATTCTGAAATGGACCAATCTGCACAACGACTACTTTTACTGTCGCTACTTTCACTATATTTTGATGAGAATACTTTTGTACTTTTACTTGAGCAACATTTTGAATGCAGGACTTTTACTGTAACAGAGTATTCCTACACTCTGGTACTTCTACTTCTAGTTTTAACTTGAACTCAATATATGAGTACTTCTCCCACCTCTGCAAATAGTTGACATTGGAGGTGTATGCAGTATATTTTGGGGGGATTTGACTTATTTTCTAACAACATAAAGATTGGAGCATTAAAGTGTAACATTTAAAACAATAATACTTGTGTGGGGGAGGGCAAATAGGTCAAAGGGGAGGGCCTGGCCACAGAATATCACTCAGAGACAGAGACCTTACCCAGCTAAACTTTATTTACCATGTAGGCAGAAAACGGAAGCTCCAAAACATCGCTTACAAAACAATTAGCTTACTTGCAAACTGAATATGTGACTCTCTAAGGATCCAGTGTTTTGAGACGAGGTTCAAGATCAGGATAAACAGTTCGTAGTCATACCAATGATGATGAAAGATGTTGGGGGTCGATAAGTCTAAAATGCGTGTGTAGCTTAAACACTCGGATGATAAAATACACACATTCTTTAACTCAACAACGGACTTGCTTCCCATTAGGTTTTGTTCAGGGACCTCAGAGGAAGATCCTACAACTGTATTGACCCCATGACCTTTTGTCTGTCAACTCCCTGCAACCAACACTTTAGTCAGATTTACAGAACATGTGCTGGGAACATTCATTGTTGTGGAGGATGAACCTTTTTTCACACTAATATACATTAAAGAAACATCTAATAAGCAGAGTACAGCAATGACATTTACAATTTGTACACATGTATGCTCCCCAGAGGATGAACCCTCTCAACATCTCCAAGTCTTTAAGGTAAATATATCATCTCTTTAACAACACAGTCAAGCTCTCAGGGGGATGAACCATGGTCTTTCCTCCAAAGATCAGCTTTCTTTGCTTCAAGCACCATTTCTGGTCATTCTTTATCAGCACATTGGTCTTTATTGCCAACACGTATCAGCCTCTAGCGGGGTCTTTGCTATCCTAATATTAACATCCACTTTGTTTACAGATGTAGGTCACATCTGTAAACGAGAAAAAGCTTGACAGACTGAATAAGTTGCATTTATAAAATTATAGGAATTGGAATCAGTGACAACACTTCATGTTTTAACAACCATTTCTGTTATTATGGTAGTTTTACTTTACTGGCTCAACATTTTCTAGTAAGTTCTTAGAAAGTAAGTGATTGAATTTGGTACTGATTATTGGGACGACATTGTTGACTTTTTTTGTCAAACTTTTAGTGAGTCACAGCGGGACAGCTAACAACATTTGAACATAATTCCACACGTAGAAACAATAATGTTTTCAATAATAAATTATAATTCTTTCAGTTTGTCTTTTACAACGTCCTTTGAGTAATATATTCTGCAAACAAACAACTAAAATACTCAAAGAATTACAAAACATGGTTCCTCTTTTCGTTATCATAAGATCGCAAAAAAGGGTGTTTCAAAGCACCCTGGGTGTCTCCTAAAAAGAAAAGGATCGGTCTTACTAACAAACTTTCATTTTTCATTTAAGAGTTCTTTAATGAAATGCTGGGGATGTGAATTTTAGGAATGTTAAAAATAAACGTGGGAAATTAACTTCACAAAACCCTTTGATATCAGTTGGACCCTGTGAGCCACACATTATACATGCAAGTCAGCTATTATGTAACAAATGCTGAATGTCAGGGTTCAAACGACTGGATATTGAAATAAGGAGACCGACAATGGAGTGTATACGAAGGGTCAAATAAAAGACAAAAACATACATTTAAAACCTGAGTATTAACACTCCAACTCAACAATAAATATATACAATAACACTTACATAATTCAGCCAGTGTTAAGACAAGTTTAGAGGTGGATCACACTCATTTAAATACTTTACTATTTTGAAAAAATACCAACTTTCTCTGGGGAAAGCAGTAAAACAGCCCTTCAATTTTAAGTTAAGATGCAGCTTTCATCCAGTGCACCTATAACAATAATATATAATGTCAGTAGTCCAGTTAAAGAACTTTAAATCTATGGATTGTAAGTAGGTAGGTATATCAAGTTTTACATCAGTAGGTTAAGCACAGAAATAGGTTCAGAGTATTAGCTTAGCACAAAAACTGGAAATGGCTAGCTGAGCTCTGTCACAATAAATATAAATACACCTTCCATCAGCTCTGTGATCCACATGGTATATATTTGTAATAAACAAGAGCAGTTATTGTTTGAACCAACAATGGCTTGGTCAAACTGTCCTATTAGGATGTTTCCAACCAAAACCCAGCAGACTTTGTTGGCTTTTTGGAAACCAAGTACACCATGAATCCAAAAGAATGCAATCTTACGGTCTCTGTGTGTTATGGCAATAGGTGTATTACACAAACTGTTATGTATGAAAACAGACTGCTGTGAGCACCCAGCACTATTTGTGCTCCCAGACCTGACAATGGCAGGAAATCTGGGATTTCCTGATTAGATCCTACAAGAAGCTGCCATGAAAAAACGATCACGGTTGTGTACTATAAAGTATAAATATAAGCAGAATTCACAGGCATAGGATAACCCATTGAGTAAAATGGAATGATAGCTTGAAGGAAATGTAAAAAAAACAAATAAATTGAAATGATAAACCAATGAGATGAAGAATTGGTGCGGCTCCACAGAAGGCCAGCAGCATCCCTCCATCACCCCCCCTCTCTGCTCCTCCGTCCATCACTCCATCCTCGTCATGTCTCCTTCAGAGTCAGCTGCCAGAGTGTCCAACACTAATGTGTGTCTGCGGTAAGACTCTGCTCTCAGGGTCATCTGAGGGGGAACAGAGTGAAGAATCAAAGTGAAAAAGTAATCATGGTATTAGTGGAAGGTTTGAGTCTTTGAAGCAGATGCCTTTAGCTGCTTTGTCGGCTTTTAAGCAATCCCAAGAACAATGGCCATTATACATGCACTTTTTCCATCATAACTGAGCATTTTACATATGCATTGTGCAAATAATCCTAAGAATATAGCTTGAGCCTTAATGGCAGATCACCCCCTTTTCCTATTATTTACTTATTATTATAAGAGAAAACTAAAGATCTGTTTGTTAAAACGGTGTGTATGTATACTATAAACAAAACACAAAATGTAAGCAAGGGTGAAAGTAGAGAGTTTAAAAAAAGATGTATTTAATTGTTATCATTTAAATACCCTATTTTCTTGGAATGTAATCCTTAAATGGGTTGATGTGACTGTATGTGTACAGTCACATCATCATATATCTCAGTAAGAATACCAATGCTAATGCTAATGCTAATGTGGATCCTCATGAAGATCCTCCACAAGAGGGAACTGTCTGTTCATGGTCGCACTAACAACACTCACACTGACCTCTGCCAGTTATTGAAAATATTCCAACATTACAGAAATATAAGACCTTAGATGTAATACTTTCCTTTGAGAAATACAAACATGTTTTTCACCAAACCGTCATCATTAATAAAAAGAAGCCAAAGTTGGAGTAACAGAAGAAATGTACCCATTTTTAGAAACCAGGTTATTAAGAGAAAATGGAAAAAAGTGATTTAGTTCATTTAAATGTTATTGTGATGTAGTTCATGAAAGGTAAAATCATTAAAGGTGGGGTAGGTAAGTTTGAGAAACCGGCTCGAGATACACTTGTTGTTATATTCCATGGAATGCTCTTAACATCCCGATAGCAATGAATATCTGAAGTGCTTTGACAAAGAATACATAAAAAAATGTCATCTGTAAAAAGCACGACCAATCATCTGAGCCGGCCGGCTAAAGTAACTGGATGGCCTGCCTGCCTGTCAGCCTTCCATCTGTGCACAAACTTATCTCGTGCCCTCATTGGTCATGTGCGTGTTCGTGTGTGTTGGAGGAGGGGCTCTGTGAGGAAGTAGCAGATTTCTTTCGGCTGCGTAGTTTCAAATTATATCGCACTCGAGCTGGTTTCTCCAAATTACCTACCCCACCTTTAAAAGGAAATAATCTGAATCTAAAATCTTTCATTTTGAGAAGCACCAAATTAAAAGTTAAATGTGATGCTGGTTTTAATAGAAAAAAATTAAAATCAACACAATAGATTAAAGTTATTTATACAAAAATAAGAAGTTAAAGTAGAAATGTCCTATTGAAAATAACAAAAAATAGAATACGACAAAAAAAGTATGTTCAAATGTGCACATTGTACTACAATAATATATATATATTACAATATATACATGTACATACAATTCTAATCATCTGTCATTTTATAAAAAGCATGATAAGCCCTCTCTAAAGCGGTTTCTTACCTGCAGGGTGTGTCTATCATTGGTTCCAGCACCAACACCTTACACTCTCTCTTGGCTATTTTGTCCAGGGAGATGAGGCCGTTTTCAGGGGGCCGGTACAGACCCCTCCCCATTGGAGGTCCTACAGGAGGGGTGATGGCCCGCCGCTCCATCACACTGCCTGACCTGCACAGGGTGAGACACATCATTCACGTCCTGCATCACATGTGTGATGTAAGAGGATCCTTTACCTGAGGAAAAGTCAATAATGAATGACGCACACAATTTCTAGACTTGAAAGACAGACGTTGAATGCGGCACACTGCTCTACCCTGACTATGTGATGGTTTAATGGTTTAGCACAATTTAAAATTACACAAACATAACAGATGATAAACAGTGCAGGAAGAGGCAACAAAACAATTGGACATACACTGAACAAAAATATAAACGCAACACTTTTGTTTTTGCTCCCATTTTTCATGAGATGAACTCAAAGATCTAAAACATTTTCTATATACACAAAATAACCATTTCTCTCAAATATTGTTCACAAATCTGAAAACATCTGTGATAGTGAGCACTTCTCCTTTGCCGAGACAATCCATCCCACCTCACAGGTGTGGCATATCAAGATGCTGATTAGACAGCATGATTATTGCACAGGTGTGCCTTAGGCTGGCCACAATAAAAGGCCACTCTGAAACGTGCAGTTTTGCTTTATTGGGGGGGTCCGAAAACCAGTCAGTATCTGGTGTGACCACCATTTGCCTCACGCAGTGCAACACATCTCCTTGGCATAGAGTTGATCAGGTTGTTGATTGTGGCCTGTGGAATGTTGGTCCACTCCTCTTCAATGGCTGTGCCAAGTTGCTGGATATTGGCAGGAACTGGAACACGCTGTCGTATACGCCGATCCAGAGCATCCCAAACATGCTCAATGGGTGACATGTCCGGTGAGTATGCTGGCCATGCAAGAACTGGGATGTTTTCAGCCTCCAGGAATTGTGTACAGATCCTTGCAGCATGGGGCCGTGCATTATCATGCTGCAACATGAGGTGGTGGTCGTGGATGAATGGCACAACAATGGGCCTCAGGATCTCGTCACGGTATCTCTGTGTATTCACAATGCCATCAATAAAATGCACCTGTGTTCGTCGTCCATAACATACGCCTGCCCATACCGTAACCCCACCACCACCATGGGCCACTCGATTCACAACATTGACATCAGAAAACCGCTCACCCACACGACGCCACACACGCTGTCTGCCATCTGCCCTGAACAGTGAAAACCGGGATTCATCCGTGAAGAGAACACCTCTCCAACCTGCCAGACGCCATCGAATGTGAGCATTTGCCCACTCAAGTCGGTTACGACGACGAACCGGAGTCAGGTCGAGACCCCGATGAGGACGACGAGCATGCAGATGAGCTTCCCTGAGACGGTTTCTGACAGTTTGTGCAGAAATTCTTTGGTTATGCAAACCGATTGTTGCAGCAGCTGTCCGAGTGGCTGGTCTCAGACGATCTTGGAGGTGAACATGCTGGATGTGGAGGTCCTGGGCTGGTGTGGTTACACGTGGTCTGCGGTTGTGAGGCCGGTTGGATGTACTGCCAAATTCTCTGAAACGCCTTTGGAGACGGCTTATGGTAGAGAAATGAACATTCAATTCACGGGCAACAGCTCTGGTGGACATTCCTGCTGTCAGCATGCCAATTGCACGCTCCCTCAAAACTTGCGACATCTGTGGCATTGTGCTGTGTGATCAAACTGCACGTTTCAGAGTGGCCTTTTATTGTGGCCAGCCTAAAGCACACCTGTGCAATAATCATGCTGTCTAATCAGCATCTTGATATGCCACACCTGTGAGGTGGGATGGATTATCTCGGCAAAGGAGAAGTGCTCACTATCACAGATTTTTTCAGATTTGTGAACAATATTTGAGAGAAATGGTTATTTTGTGTATATAGAAAATGTTTTAGATCTTTGAGTTCATCTCATGAAAAATGGGAGCAAAAACAAAAGTGTTGCATTTATATTTTTGTTCAGTGTATTTAAAGACTCTACCTAAACAATGTAAAAAAATCTAAATTGTACATAAAACACAAGATCAATATACAAACAATTGCTTGAATTCAATAAAAAGGGCACACTTTAAGAACAACATATTCATACTTAAAATATAAATATAATAACACTGATTTGAATATGAAAACCAGATAACATATATATATATATATACAAACATTTTTGTTAGGTATTTATTATAGCAATGCAGCGAGGGACAGTTGTTTGTTATGACTGGAAGGCCATTCCAGATCTGTATTCCTCTGAAACAAATGGAACATTGAGATCTAACTGTGAGACATTAGGTTGATAGAGATTTTATGAAAGTTTGTATTGAAGTGCAAAGGAATGAACCCTTTAACTGAAATGTTTCTGTAAATAAGAACACACATTTGATAAACGTTGATGTCCTAATCTGTAAGAATCTGAAGCCTAAAGGAGCAGATGAGATAAGGGATCTTGTTGCCAGCTCATAGAGTCTTATTGTGTACCAGGAAATGTTGAGTAGACCAAAGTTCTATGATAGATCCAGCTCATAGAAACTGCTGGATGCTTACTTGCATATGTTGGGCAATTTGCACAATTTGCATAAATGTTGTTATTTAGCATAAATAAGTTTTGGATTGGTTTTGTGGGTTATTTTTTTACTTGGTGGGCTCATTTTAACACCAGTTGTAGTATTTAACCTAACTAAGTAATCAACCCAAAATGAATCTAAATCAGCCCACCAAGAGTACAAATATCGCCATTTTCTGGTTAAAACTGCCATGTCAGGAATGGATTCAGGATCCTCAATAACCCCTAAAACCACCCGAAAGTCTTCCAAATCAGCCATGTCATTTTTTTATTATTTTCCCTTGTGCTAATTTAGATATGCAAGTTAGAGTTATTATCAGTCCGTACCTGACGTGGTGGGCTCTGGAGGGCTGCTGGTGGGAGAAGCTGTGAGAGCGGCCCAGGCTCTGTCTCTCCAGCAGCTCTCGGACCCCCGGGCTGGATGATGAGGGAGAGCGAGGCTCCACCGGGGGGGTGGACACCGAGGCTGTGAACTGCAGCTTCAGCTTCATGTGCTGGCTCAGCTACGGAGAGGGGGGGGGGAGGGGGGAGAGCACTTTGAGTATCACTGCTGATTGGGTAAATTAACCCTAACCCTACCTTTATGGCTGTAAATGTTCTACATTGTAGCCTGAGCGTTTATAATGACATTGGAATGAAAAGTCTCTCAATATGTTGATACTCACTGAGTGTGATACCTGGGCCTTTTTAGATGAACACAAAGCTGATATCCTGATATCCGTATCTCTGAAACCTTAGTAGTTTTTCTCATAAAAGTTGCCTGTTTCCCGGTTTGTTTACACAGGCGAACCAAATAAGCCATGTTCTTCTTTTGAAATGGCTGGTGTTTCGTTTGGAGAAGACGTCTAAGTATTTGATTACTTTGCCGGCCACTACATTGCAGGCACAGTGCTCAACAATTACAAATTATTTTAGCAAGTAAATAATATTTTTTGGGACATTTTCCCGCGTTAAAAATTACTGAATGAACTAACTAATGTATGAGCAGCAACAGTACCTCGAAGAGTCCGGTGCGGAGGATCTGGAAGGCCACGGTGAAGGAGAGGGTGGAGCCCTTCCTGCACTGACCCAGGTTGTTGAGGGGAGACTGGCACACCACCGCCCCCCCACCATGGTGCTGCTGGCCTCCAAGAGCAGCTGATGAGAGGAGGGACAAATAATATCAGATTAATATAAAAATAACTTGTTGACTCACTGTAAGTTTGATTAAGACTTTGTATAGAGCGTTTTAAATATTAATTATGTACTGTCCTCTCTTTGTAACACTTTGCAATATACAGAGGTGGGAAGAACATTTATTCAAGTGCTATTTTGTCATACTTGTACTTTACTTGAGTGCAACACAGGGTTGCACAATGGAAAACAGTCTGTTCATACGATATTAAAAAAACCTCACTTAGGTCAGTTTTGCACCTTAGATAAGCAAATGTACACTGTATGATAATGAAATCGCTGTTTACTCAGATATCATTGTAGTAATACAACCCTACCATACCAACATACATTAGACCCGTCTGTACAGTTGGAATTCATCACAGCTGGCTTTAACCCCGACACACCCATCCAACACATCTCATAGGGTGCAACCTTTTCTTTTTTCACGCTGACTGTAGTGAAGATTACACATCTGGACGTTGACCCAGTCATGATCACAGCTGGATCAGGATGTCTCACTTTACCCTTCACTAATGTAAACAGCCTGTGGTAAGTATGTAATGAACAGATCTCCATTGTAATACAAGTGCCTGAACCATTGTTGACTTTATATTTTGTTTCACTCCTAAATAGGGAATGGGAACAGCGGTGCATTCTGGGCCGTTGCCATCTTTGTAGGATAGCGTCTACTCTATAGCAACAGCAGCAACCGTCAATATAATTCAGCAGTTCACCGTCATCTGTCATCTGTCATTGCTTTGTAAATGAATAAAGTATGTGCGAAATATGAATGCCCTCACAAAGAGAAGCTCTGGCTGGAGACAGAGGAGCGTTATTAAAAAAGAGAGTTAATTACTGACATCTGTCTGTATGAATTAAGAGAAGAACAATTACTGTTACAAATGTCAGCCCTCTGTGGTGTTTGGAGTCACCTGTCAGCAACTTAAAAATATCAAATATCCAGAGGCCCACGTCATGACATAAAAGTGCCTACCGACCATGTCAAACGTTTAAAGAGTTACAGCTACTCCGCTCGCTGTACAGGTTAAGTTAACAGGTTGCAGTCGTTTGTATCCTCTAAAGATGGACGACTTGCTGATGATGACGTCACATTGCCATTCCCTATTGTCAAGTAATCAAAAAGGGTTGTATTTCTACAACAATTCTAATTGAATGAAAACTAAAGCAACGACACAATGTCGTTCACTTCAGGTGTTGTGGTGCAAACTGCTGTGTGTCACTAACCAGCACTAAGCCAGGTGGGACAGGTCTTTTGGTTGGAGGAGTCAAGATTGTCCTGTGTGAGATCTGCTACTCACCGTCAGCATTCCAGATCAGACGGACAGCCAGGAAGTCCTGCAGGTTGTTGAGCAGGGTGTATTTGACCCAGAAGTGCTCCAGAGGCCGGACCGCCCTGGGACAGGAAGCTGTCATCACCAGGCGAGGGCGATCCAGGCGGATGCTAGGCAACGAGTAACAACTAGAGATGTATCTGTAGAGAAAGCAAACTCATATTTTCCAATCTGGCCTGTCATAGGACAGCTGTAATTCAGTCTGTATTTTTCCTGCTTTGACATGTCCATAAAATGAATGATTAATGATAGTTTTAATATTTACAAGTTAGGTTGTAGAAGGTAAACTGCTCCTGTAGACAGCCCTTCCTGACAGAAAGAATGTGTGTTATCCAAAACTATGTCCTAGCCGGAGCCACCAGACTCCATTGATAAAAACGTTCATAATTCCTTGCAGAATGTACAAGTTTCTGGTCTGCAGCTGTTGACTGAACCCGTACAGCAAGCAGAGTAGCATTCCTTTTCGTCTTTAAACTTTTTAAACATGGTCCGTAGGCTGTTACAGCAAGTGACATAACAATAAAGCAAACAAAAAAGGAAACCAAACAAAAAAGGACAATGGGATAACATTTTATAATTTAAACTAACAGGGAAAGAAAGGAGAAGTAGCAAACATCAACAATGATGCTAAATTAAGTCCGATGGCAGCCATCTGCTGAACTAGAGGAACATAAACCAGTACACTGGGAATAAGATTCAAAACAGGAAATATGGCAGTATACGTACATATACTGGGAGATTAATTGTGCATTTTGCTAGCACTAAGTTAGAATAGCATTAGCTGTCTTACATGTGTCCAGATGACTCTATAGTCGTTAAACCAGTTGATCTGAGGGTCCTGTAGCCCCCCCGTTTGTAAACCTGACATGAGCCTCTGAATATTACATATTTTTAAGTAGATACTAACCCCAGATAGGACCGACATCGGTAACAGTGATAGGTCAGTTTTTCTCTTGATTAATACGGACAGATCATTAATTAACTTTTTCTTTTAAATAACCCTTCTCAGTTTCTGCCTTCTCTTTGTAAGGGCATTTATATTTGGCACATAGTTTATACATTTCCGATGCAAAAAGCTGACACATAACATGAGACGTTGATTTATATTGACTGCTGCTGCTGTTGCTATAGACGCGATCCTCCAAAGATGGCATCAACCCCCCAGCATGCACCGTGGTTACCATGACCTATTGACGTGTACCTCATATAACCCAACTTCAAACAATCAGAACTATCTCTTTAAACCTTTGATTTTCATACTGTCCCACATTGTTTTCACTGTATACATTCTGCTAAGCGACGCTAAGTAAATGTTGAACTAAGACCACATTTACACGGGAATGTTTGCATTTACGCACCGTATGCGTTTTCAAAAAAGTATTCCGTTCACACGCATTTGGCTCAATTAACGTGTCCGTTCACACGAGACTGCTGGAACCACTGGAAACGCTGTGGTACATATGCCGGGCATGTAAGTGGCGCTGCTGCCGCCACAAAATACACCAAAAGCAGCGAAGAAGACCCCGCAGCATGGTTGCCATCAGGGCCTGACCAATTTGCTGCCCTAGACAAGATTTTAGCTGGCGCACACAGAAGCTGTATACGTTTTTTGGGAGTTTGATTTATTTTAAATTAACACAAATACAAAATTAGAACCTATAATTGCACACTAAAACCATTATTTCAAAAAAAGAACTATTTCATATTTCAAACCCTCTGGTTTTGACTGGGGGGGGGGGGTGTGCCATAGTTTATTGGCACTGTACGCAATATAGGCGTAGTTCTGTTAGTTTAAGATAATAAGATGTACTTGATCCAAAATCGGGAAATTGTGTTGTTTTAAAATTTAAAACAAATATTATTTTTTTATTTCAAACTTTTTTTTTCTTTTCCTCCCCAATTTTCGGCGCCCCCCGATGGGCATTCGCCTATACTGCCTATGCCAAGGGCCGGCCCTGGTTGCCCTTCTGTTTATTCTCCGCGGTGGACGGCGTGTGCTCCTGCTGTAAATCTCTCCGGTAGTCCACCAGCAGATGAAAAACACCCACCTCTCCGCCTCTTCCAAGGGACGAGGGAACCTTGCGGCAGAGTCAACATGTCTGTTAAAGTTTAAATCTTCCGGACAAAATTAGCAAAGTGCAGGTCAAAAGTCTTCTGTGTTATTTATTGAGCTTTAAAACTAATTGATAAAGACTCTGTATAATAATATAAGAATAATGAACGGAGCCTCTCTTTTCCTCCCCCTCTTCTGAGAGCACAGCAGCTGATCTCTGAGCAGGAGACGGAGAGGGAGACGTGGGGAGAGGGAGACGTGGGGAGAGGGAGGCGGGGCTATTTCACCGTTATCAGGAAATGATCGTATAGAGGCGTACACACGGAGCCGTTTGGCCCCCCCAGAGCGTTCCGTTTGCAGATCTATCCACCTTGGGACCCGTTATCGTTTGCGACGTTTCTATAGTTTTGTTACGGCCTCGTGAAAACGAAAGGGCTATACGCAAGAGAAACTATGCAGATACAACCCGTATCGTCCTCGTGTGAACGGGGTCCAAGACAAACAGTTACCTTGTTAAAGGGAGTGTTGGAGTAAACCACTGTAACACAGCCACCAGCGGGACTTCCAAACCCTAGAGAAATACATACAATAAATATATTAAGACATATTAAGAACAACAACAGTTAAAAACACATAAATGAGCCACACTATTGCACTGGGTGACATGGTTAGCATTAGCATGAACAAACACTAGTTTATCTTTGACTAAATCCAAAAATACTCATTAGAGCAACAATGTTGATTAATCCGCCACTGAAAATAGTCCCTACAATACAGTATGTTGTTTACACTACTTCCTTGTGTGACAGGCACTTTTGCTATTTTTGCATTGTTTCTTGTGGCTTGGCCAAAAAAAGACACTTCTCTCTTTTGTATGTAGAAATCACAATGGTTTGGCTTATTGACAACTAATGTACTAACAGGTTCTTGCTGTTTTAAATGTTGTCCCGCATGATTGATTGCACTTATTATATGTTGCTTTGGAAAAGGGGGTCAGCTAAATCAAATGTCATAAAGAAGAGAAGAGATAACATGGCCCTAAAGTGGAAACGTTGAAACTCGATATCTTTTTATTCTTCAAATCTCTTGTGAAAAACACATTATATATCAGGACAAATATTTTAAGGTCCAAAAATAGATTTACCAAAGTAAAATAGAGGATGAATGTATAGTTAGTGTATTAAATGAAATATCTTTGAGTACAAGTGTTTTCTTTTGTTGCTTTCAATAAAAAGAGATTGACAAATGACTTCATATCAAGCTTTCTGAGATGTGTGAAAAATGATCATTGTAAAACTTGTATTAAAGTTGACCAGGAAGAAGCAGCCTCCATCATTGTCTCACCTCACTAGAGTACTCCTCTGCTGTGTCTTGTAGCTGCAGCTGGAACAGGAAGGTCTGTTCTTCAAGGGCGCTGAGCATGCTGGGTAAACGCGATGACCCGCTATCTATCCGACAGAATGAAGCCACGGTGACCTCAGCTGATTGGTGGCTTTAGCGTGAAGTGGAAATAAAGAAGGGGTTGTTAGGCGACTTTAAACAACACAAAACACAGCTCCTGATTCTTTACATTTTATAACGTTAACCATGTTTACTATATTAGTTTAGCATGTTAGCATGACGACATATTCTTATTAAAACTGAGGCTAAGTTGGTTACGAAAGTGAACGTTTTATTTAAGTTAATCAGCAATCAAATTGTTCAGTTCCGAGCAGAAGACCTTATAGTTTCTGTACGACAGCTAAAATCAAGCTAACAGTAACTTTACTCTGTGGGCCTCATGCAAAAAGAATATTGACGTCAATAAATAAATAACTCAATATGTTCATGGCAAAGGTTCAGAAATATAGAAAGAGGGGAAGTGAATACAGCTGCAGCAGGAATTTGGAGAGTTTCTATGGATGTTTTTTTTTTTTTAAATGTCCTCCTTTGCTGAGCCTTACTAGTGCATTGGCTGCTGTAAACCTGTGCACAATACACTCAAGATTAGGGCTGTAAGTGTGTTTATACAAATGATTTCACTCAGATTGCACCAACAGTAGTGCTATGATGTTGGATGTCACTGATATAAATGCAAATTAAGATCCATCTGATGTTATTGCATAATAGAAAGTCAAACTTTTTTACACCGATTTCATGCATATAGTGACTTAGACTTAATACTAGAGTATGACAGTCTTCATAAATAGATTGCTATATGACGACATGCTATATGCTAATGACCAAGATGTGACAATTAATGTATGTATTATGAGTTTTAATGTCAACTATATACTTTAGGTTATCCGTTTTTTTCTTTTTATGATTTGTTGATTGTTATGTAGTTACTTAATGTATTAAAAAGTTCCTTTTGTTATGTATTCCTTGTAACAAAATCATTTCTTAAAATAATAATTTTAAAAAAGCATGTTTTATATATATAAAACATGTGTAAAACATGCTTTTCATCACTATGTACGTAACACTCGCACTTCTATCGTCTAGCGCTCCAATACATTGCACATGATAGGCTAAGAGGAGTGACATCTCTAAGCGCCTGACCCATCGCAACAGAGCCGGCCAGCTAACCAATCAGAGCAGACTGGGCTCTGGTTTCAGACAGAGGGTGAAAAGAGGTGCTGCAGCACAGGCAGTATGAGAAAAAAAGGCTTTTTGAACATTAAAGCATGGAGACATGTCCCAGTAGAGACACTACATACTGAACCTGAAAATGAGCAGGACATGTCCTCTTTAACAATCCGTATCTCAGGAAGTGCAACAGTGTAGGGGTATGGACATATGTGTGTTTATCCTAGAGTATACAGTAAGTGCACATGTACTCACCAGACATTGTCCACTATGAGAACTGAACCATCTGGCATCATGGGGAGGTAGGAGGAGTTATAGTTGGGAACGATCTTCACATCTCTGACACACACCTCATCCTGAGAGCTGCAGTTCAACACTGTAGAGAGAGGGGGGGAGAAGAGTTATCACAGGTGGTGTCTTCGAAGATCTGTATGTGTGTGTGAGTGTGTGATAGTTGTCTACCTTTAAGGAGAGTCAGGTGTTTTCCAGAGACAGCCATGTGCTGACACTGCACACTGGGAGGTGGTAGAACATTCATGATGGTGCTGACTGGGAATGGAAATAAGAAACAGAAAAAACAAACAAGCACATTTAGTATGCCATTAAAAGTCCCAAGTTTAAGACCACAGAACTCTTTGAGTTGCAGAGCTCAGGTCTGGTGTGCTTACCCTGCGCCTTGAAGGTGCTGAGGTCCTGTCTGAAGGTGTGTAGTGGGCTCTTGAGCTGTAGAAGGGTCAGGTAACCATGTTCCCTCACCTCCACTTTCTCATCCTCATGACACCACACAGTCACTACGATCTGACAAAAACACAAAGTAAAAGTTATATATGTGCTGTTTATATTTATTTGGCTTCATAATAAGTTAGTCTAAGATGGTGTTTGTTTAAAAACCAGCCTGATTCACAAATATATATCCTCCCACGCAGGCTACGGGAGTCACGGATAATATGTACAGGGTTACGTTATCAGGTTACAAACGAAACATAACTGTATTCCCTTACTGTTACATACACAAATATGTAATCAGATTACTGGTACTTTTATTTATTTTTTTTTAAATGGGGATTATTAGCATCATTACAATTTTATAATGCGCTTTATAATAAAGAATGATATATTATAGGCAGACGTACTGTCTGAATTTTCTTTTTGCTTTTTAATTAGTCTACTTTTTATCCTTTAAAAATGTTTTTAAATTCAGTAGCAGCACACCTGATTTATTGAACAAACTTACTGTGTTTGCTTTTAATTCATGTGTTAAACTAAAACAGCATTTGTATACTATACTTACCTATCTTAAAATATAAGATGACATATTTTATCCTAAATATCTTTGTTTCTTCTTTTCTAAGGTCATATTGTTATGTTAACTTCTGTGTATTATCTTCAATATACTTAAGTTAAAAACATCTTATTGATATTTATTTTCTCTTGTTTTTATCTGCATTGCATTTGATATTGAGGTAATACAAAAGTAACAGAAAGTAATCAGGTATCATTACTTTTATATTGTGATACTCAGATTAGGTCAATGATTACCTTTTTTTTTACCGGTATTTTAAGTAACCCTCCTAACCCTGCTCCCACGGTACGTACGGTAATGTCGTCCCAGTATTTGTTTGTGCATCTCACCTTGGCTTTAAGCGTGTTGGCTGGCAGCTTGTCCAAAGAGACGGTGAGAGAGAAGACAACCTGGTCATCCAAAACCAGAGCGGACTGCAGAGGACAAGATGTTGGAGGTGTAGGAAATGACAATTTGTGAAATAAATTAGCACAGTATTCATTAACAAACAACTAGAAGTTCAACTACATTTTAGTGAGACTACAATGATAGGCCATATAAATAAAGAGATGCTGTTTTACCATAACCTCTCTACTGTAATTAAACACCAAATGCCAAATGTTCTGTTTTGTATAAACACAAGATTCTGCCCTGACAAGTAAAAATAGGTCCATTTTTCTTTTATTGAGACCAGAAATATAGGTGTTAATGTCGTGAAAAAAGGCTCAAATATAAGACTGTTTTAGTTTTTAAGATGAAGAGTAAGGCAACAGGCACATTTTAGACCAGAACATGCCCAGTTTTTGAGAGTACCTATAGAAATGGACCGCAAATGTTCACATTTTTGTCTGAGCCATTACTGTGGTTCACAGGTTGTGTATGTCGTATACAGTACGTCCCTGTCTTCAGCCTAGCAGGCACACGGGTAGAGACTGAAGCTGGTTTAAAGCCCCTGGAGACTTCACTGTCAGGTCTCAACACATCTGCAGCACAATGATTATTGCAACAGACATAAATAACTGTCTGCTTTGTCTCATGAAATCAAGCAGAACAATAAAGGTCAGGGTATAAATGACTTTGGTTTGGTTTCCCCTTAATTCAGTAAATAGGTATAGGTTACTTCCTGTTACACTGAAGGTATGAGTTAGTTAGTTAGTTAGGGAAGTTATCCAGGTGTCCTTTTTATGTACAAATATATACTACATAATATATATTACATAATAAATGTAGTGGAGTAAAAGTACACTATTTACCTCTGAATTGTAGTGGAGTAAAAGTAAAAAGAAGCAAACTATTTAAATACTCTGTAAAGTACAACTATCTCAAAATTGTACTTAAGTACAGTACATGAGTAAATGTACTTAGTTACTTTACACCACTGGAAAATAGGTAAAGGTGACTTCCTGTTACACTGAAGGTACGGGAGTATACTGAGAAGCAATTAGTTCAATGTTAAAGGAAGTTATCAAGTCGTTCTCTCCATCATATCAACAGTCAGTGTTAACTACTTTGATAACAGTAATTCCCCTTTATTCACACTTTCTTTATCCTACTTTTCCCTTCTTACCTGCACCGGTTCCCCACACTGTCGCCCATCTCTGGCCGAGCTGTTGTGAGTGAGATGCGGGGTGCACTGTATGAAGGTCCGGGTACTGTCCGGTCTCTTTCCTCCAGACTCCCTCTCCTCCACGGGCTCCTCTTCCCCGCTGTCCCCGCTGCAGGTGCTCTGGATGTCGGGCTGGTACTCGCTGTGTCTCTGCACACGGCTCTCTGCGACGCACACACTCGCCTGAGCTGACAGTGAACTCACCATCTCCTTCCACGGTAAAACCCCGGAGCTGTCATCCTTCCCCGCCGCCTTCCGGGACCGCAGTACCAGCAGGAACTGCACCACCTCCCCGAGGTAGACGTGCTTTCTCCGCGGGACAGTAGTGTACTCCGCCGGGTCTGACAGAGTGGATATTGGAGCGGCAGGGAAATACATGAAGTACTCGCATTGGGTCTCCATCATTAAATAACCTAACCATATGCTGCCGTGTAAACAAGGCGAGGTTCCACGTTCATGTAGCCCGTATGTCCGTGTGTCAGAAATTAAATAAAACACAACGCAAGTAACGGAATTAAAGTAACGTTCAAACCATTCATATCCATTTTTGTTCCGTGGAGCTTCCGTTTACCGAGTAGCAATACAAACAACAGGACGGCTAATCGAAACAGAGCTTTTTCCAGACCATACTAATCAATCACCTGAAGGTAGATCACAGAGCCAAACATATTCAAATACAGTCAAACCAGGGCTTTATTATGATATTACCATGAGTGGAAAAACATTTTCCAGTAAAAATAATTTATAGCAATGAAAAAAAGTATTACATTTAAAATAATCCTGAAGAAAATACTATATAAGTTGGCCTTTAATCGGATCTTGTGTTATCAAAGTTGGTAAAGGTGCAGCTAGTTTGAATTACTTTGTATACTGCAGGCTAGCTTGTGAATTTACTCCAGGTGGAACTAAAGTCTGATTTAAGAGTTGATCATTAATCAAAATCTGTAAAGTAACTAAAGCTATTAAATACATGTAGTGGAGTAAAAGTACATGATTTACATCACATTTTTACTTAAGTACATAACTTGTGTAAATCTGCTGAGTTACTTTACACCACTGCCTATAATCAGCTATATGTACTTACAAGGGGGTTAATGGGCAATTGCGTCTTTAGTATTATTACTCATAAAATAATATTATTGTGTTGTTACTTGTATCATACAACAATATATTATAGGTTAGTTTCATATGTAAAAATAACACATATTCATAGAGCAGAATCAGATCATGTTTAATAATGTTAAATATGAATGATAATGTTACAGCTGGGAAAGAATGTAGAGGGTAAAAAGTTAAATATTTTTCATTTGAGGTGTAGTAGGCCTGTAGGAGAAGAAATGTAAAGTATAAGAAAGGAGACGAGGAAGTTGAGTTACAGAAATGTTGTTTTTATTCAGTACCAGAAAAAAACCTCAATGTAATAGTACAAGTTTCACCCCAAAAATAACATAACATAATAATAACATTTTCAAGTAAGACCCAAGCCAAAGTACGCCGTTGCTTTCTGAACTTGCATTTCCAGTCCAGTGCAATCTGTAACACCTAGAGAGATGATCAGGTCCATTTATGATTTCCTGTCAGTAATAACCCAGTGTTGTGAAAAGTACAGATGGAAGCTGTTCAAATGAGGTGATAAATCACACTGTACCATAGCTGAGATTTGAAGAGGTTTGACAAAAGATGTACCTTTTATTCTGACACACTATGTAACACGCATGAAAACTTAGTAAATAGCGAGAAAATAAGTCACAGTACCATTATAGTAAAGCCATTTTAGTCAGATTTCCACTGGAAGAATAAAAACAATGCTGCATGTGGGAAGACAGGCATGGAAATTAAGCACAGTTTTCATTTGACTTGCATTACAGGTTCATTATCTCTAAATTAAAAGATAAAGTATTACATCTCTACCTCGTAATTACCATTCAAGGACCGGATAATTTAGTGGCTGTGCTCTCATTTGTAAGCATTATGATCAACACTTAATATTCTGGTTGTCTTGAGATAAATTCCGATCTGAAATAATCACAGTAATGCTCAGTGTTATTATTTATCCTTTTCTCAGGTATTTTATCCTTTTCTCTACTTATTTTGTATTTAATTACAATTAACAAAATGTCTAAATGTGGACGTTTTGAAAGACAACAGCTTGATATAACCGTACAATCACAGTTTTCTTAGTAACACTGAATTATTTATGACCCTGCCATAATTAATGGTGGCAATTTGTCATCAGTGTTTCAACACTGACTGAAAATTGAAGATTAGCTGATTGTATGTTTTCTCATCACATTAACAAAAACAAAAACACCCTTCCCCTCGTCGTCCCTAACCAACCCCGATAAATACAGTCTGTACAAATGGTAGATATAAAAGAAAATACAGAAGGACATTGTTTAAAAGCCGGGGTCAATAATATCATAACTGCATGAAACAAATCTGTTTGTGCATTAGTGTTCATTAAACAGTGGTGACCCAGAACAGCGAGCATCTACTAGTACAGTTGTTCATTGTAATACAAGCACATGAGGCCTGTTTGTATCATCACAATTAAATTATGGTGCAAATAATAATGTTAGACCGACATCCTGATGAGCCGAACATATAGAGTGTGTCCTGGTGGTTGCACTAAAGAAAATGGTGTTCTTTCACATTAAAAAGATTGGATGTTAAAAGTATTCATGTTTGAGTTTAAAATAAACAACAATAATAATCTTTGAGGGTTGCAGGACATAGCCGTGTAGCACTGTGATACACAGTGGGTTATGTAACTGAAGTTACAGTTTCAGATTATAGTGAAATACTTATAAGTCAACGTTTGCGTGAAAGGAGGAAACATAAATAAACACAGGTATGTCCCTTTTAAATCTAAGTTAATACTTTCTCATCCCTTTGACTCAGTGACTAAGCTGATTAACAATCTTCGTTTCACTGGAGGAAGCACAATGCAGTGCACCCAATCCCCGCAGAAGGACGACTGCTGTAAGGTGACACTATTCACAGTGCACGGGATGGAGAATACACACTACTGTGCTGTGGAAAGACTTTTGTTAGCATCAATCAGTCAAATGTTCAATGTTGGACGTTTTAAAGAGATCCAAAATCAGAGCTCCTACATACTGTACACACAAATGGATGGGTAGAGGAAAAAAATAGATGAAAACATTGCGTTCTTCTGTTAAAAATGTGCATTTCTAACTATTTTTATCATTTATTATCCCTATGACAGCTGGTTGTAGCTTGGAAATACGAATATTTGTTGTCGCAAAAGTTTGTATCCTTTTTTTCACCTATCTATTTTTTCCCCCTATTTCCACTTTGGGCTTTGTAAATATATTCCTCCACATGTACATTCTTACACATGATCTGTACAATACTACATTTATACTATGGCCATGGAGAACACTCAGTTCTGATTGGTCAAAGGGTGTGCATTATTTTTCAGATATCAGCACTCAAATGTAATTCCAGCATCATCTGTAACAAGATAAGCGTCAACACTAGTATTCACTATGAAAAGTGCCAACATGTGAATAAACAATACTGAATATTGTGATGTTGAAAACAGCTAAAGTGAAATCCAAAACAACATGGCTCATCATTGCACCAGACCTCATTCACCTGGACCTTATTAGACCCTCATTCATGCAAACATATTCATCTCTCAATATCATTCTCAAATGGCTTGACTGCATGGCTTTAAAACAAAAATATTAGATCATGGTGCTTCAATGTGTTGTTGTTTATTATCTTCACAGGAAAGAGTGTTGTGTAGCATTGCCAGACAGCAGAAAGAGGAAACCACAGCAGACAGAGTTCTCACTTTGAAGTGCTATGACACAGACCACATCAGCTAGCAGGTGCTCAGAAAGGATTTTAACTCAAATATGAAGTGCGTTATAATGTGTTCCTGTCTGTGCTCTACTTTCCCCCACAGCACGAGACAACCAGGTTATAAATACAGGTACTGCAGAATGGCTGCCCAGTGTCCTTTGTGATGATCTAAATAAAATCTGTAAACTAAACAGGATTCTATCAAAGACCAATTCCCCCGTTTTTTTATTTGCACATATTTCCGTAAGAAACCTCCCTATTTGCTTTTGATTCAAAGTTAACACTATCTATTCTCCTGATCTGCCCACTCCCTTCAGCAGTGTAAACATAGAACACTCCTTGCCAGATTCAATATGCAGTTTTCTCATAATGAACTACAGTACCCAAGTTCATGGACCATGTCACTTAGTGCAACCATGTGGGTCACTGTTTTCTCAACAGTTTCTGATTAACAGTGAAGCTCTTGACAAAGCCGTCTACAAAAACCAGTCAGGCGATGTCAGCGAGCTCACACATGCACATTTCAGAGTGTTATTCCTGTTATCATACTGTATGTATAAGACAGTCAAGTGAGAACCTGTCTGCGGTGATTTGTCCCTGACAGAGATAGGTTGTTTGTGTTACATAGTACATGTAGTACAATTTGATCCTTCATGCAGCAGCATGTTAATGACAAAATATCTGCAAGTAGGCTACCATGCAGGACCAGGCTGTGACTGAACATGTGACAAGCTGCATGTCTGACACAGTGTTAATGTAAACATGCTGCATTCCACAGACGATGAAGAGTTCCAGCTCCTTACTCAGAGCCAAATGAAGCAGGACTGGTGTTTATTTGGAGGAACATAGGGACAAACTGTAACTCATGCCTGAGATAGTGATATTATGTGAGAAGAGTCTAGCTGCAGAGCTCCACGCTCAGGCCCAGCTCCTCCACCTGAGACCTTTTACTGTGTCAAGCTAACAGTGTGTGCCATCTGCAAATTGTTTACACCAGTAAATGCATTCACTAGTTTAAATATATAATACATTTTAAATATCTGTAACTTCTAGTTAGGTAGCGTAACCTTAAAGGTGGGGTAGACAATTGTGGAGAAACCAGCTCGAGTACGCTAAAATTTGAAAATACACAACCTGAAAAAATCTGCCACTTCCTTCCAGAGCCCTGGATAACTGGATGGCCTACCTGCCTGTCAGCTTTCCATCTGTGCACATTACAAACTTATCTCGTAACCACATTGGTCATGTGCGCGTTCGTGTGTGTTGGAGGAGGGGCTCTGTAAGGAAGTGGCTGTGTATTTTCAAATTCTAGCGCACTCGAGCTGGTTTCTCCAAAATTGCCTACCCCACCTTTAAGCAGCCAAACTCGTACTAGCCTTATGAGTGAGCAATGAAAGGCTAATGTTAGCTACAATGATTAAGCATTTGCATTTCCCTAACAAATAAGTATAGCTAGCTAACATTAGCTATTGTTAGCAAACGCATAAGGATATCACATACGTTATTTGCTTCTTGTACCTTAACATTAGAAGTTAGAATTAAATCGAAATATAACCTTTGTATTGTTTACCTTGTGTTGCTGTTTTGTGGCAAGGGATAAAATGAATACAATATTGGCTTAGTAGGCTAATTTATTTAGTAAGGATACCTATGAAAAGACTGCTTCAATAGAATTGTATTGCTAGTCAACATTAAGAATGTTAGCATTTACTGTGAAATGGTCTTTAAAACGGTGACATGTAATTGATGTAAAACATTTGTATAAATAAGTAGCCGGATTAATGGCGTTGGAGATGGGTCCAAAAGGTGGGTTGAGCCAGGAGCTTTGCAGCAAGACGCTCCTGCTTTATGTTGTCTGCTGTGTTCCGTCTGACAAAACAATATAGAAAAGTCCCAAAATACCTGCTAACTCGTTCAAAGTTTATCTGGAAGGAATACTGGGGGAGTTGAGGTCACTCTTGTGCAATATAATGAATCATCTTTTAGCTGCTTTTGGATGTGTTTACCCCTGCACTGATATTCAATTAATTTGTAAAACATTATGACAAGGAAATGGGTCTTCATGGTCTCTGCATATGTGAGACAGATGGATACTTTAGCGGATAGTGGAAGGAAGGAATGTGCCCAAATGCTGATAATAACCAGCCGCCTGCTTGCGGTAGTATCAAGCACCGGATCGTTTTCCCCTCTTGTATTATTAAAATATATTTAAGAAGCAGTTCAAGTTAGTGGTTCTAGACAGGGCTCCATACTGACTCTGAAGCTGAACAAAGTGTTTCAAAGAGAGAAATAGTAAGTTATAAATCATCATTATTTGTGTCCATTACCAGTAGCCTACCAGCAAAGACTGACTTTACAAACCATACCCTCAAAGAAAAACAGATAGTGTTGTATACATACCCCAATGTAAGCCTCTTGTGTATTACCATTGCTTTAGAGACACAGAGCTTAGCATGTGTTTTTCTAATACATTCCCAGCTTTTCTTCAAAAACTGTTAGAATTGAAAGACTCTTCAAACCAACTGAATACAAAACATTCCATCCTCTGCGAGATTTTTTTTTTCAACCCATATTCCAAGTAAATTCTTTATTTTGTATTCAAATATGAAATAACTTAAAAATATATATCTTTTAGGGAGGTGCTAGGCTCAGTGACTCAGTGTTATGGCACTGCATGAGAGGCAAATACTGGGGCTTATTGTACCTTTACGTTGAGAAGTTTCAAGCATGTGCACCAAGGACAACGTAAAAAATAAATCGTACCTCTTAGAAGTATAAATATGAACAAGGACTAAAACAGGCTTCTGTGTGTCAGCAAAGCAGAGAGTCCCTGCCAACAGTTTATTTGAGTCTGCTTATATAAAAACAAAGTTCATTCTACCACTTGTAACTGCAGCCATGAAAGCATCCCAGGCTCTCAGAGGTCAAGGGCCACGAGGATTACACCGACTAAAAGCAAAAAACGGTTTTAAGTAACGAAGCAAACAACCAAAAAGTGGAAGTTCAAACAGCTCCTCCTTTTTGTTTTCTTGTGTGTAAACCACACTCGGCTCAGCTTTCAGTTAATCTTTTCAGTGACCAGAGGTACCGTATTGAGGAATGAGACTCACCTGAAACCTCATGTCAATCTTACTTTTTGTATTAAAGTCTGGTTCCTCCTCATTAAGCGGCTTCCATCCCAGTCCCTCAACTCCGCTGTCCTCCCCCCAGCATTCCCCTCCGCCGGCCTCTCTCCTGTCCTGGGTGAGTCTTGTCTTACCAGAGAGGCTCCGGCTGCCAGCAGAGCCGGGTTCTGCTGCCCTGACTGGGCCACGCGGGGGAACTGTTTAGCATCCAGCACGTCCTTGTACTGCAGCTCGGGTCTGATCATCCTCAGACAGGCCGTCCTGGTGGCGTTGTCCAGCCCCGGCTGAAGCTCGTATCCCAGAATCTCCAACAATCCCAACTGGAACGGCCGTATGTTCTTGTCTCGGATCCGGCGTGCCTCCACAGGCTTCCCGCCGTCCCTCAGACAAACCTGGGCCATTTCTTTCCGGAGCATCCTGAGAAGAGATACTTCCTGCTCCATCTGGGCGTAACCGAAACTTTTGATATCCTCCCAGAAGGTCCGGTTGAAGGTTTTATATAAGTACAAGTCGAAGGCGTTCCACTGGCGCAGCTTCTCCCGCTGTGCCTCCGTCACATTGGTCAGTATCTTGGCTTGGGGGCGTACCCCTCTGAACCCGATACCTGCTGCCGCCGCTGCTTTGCTCACGAAGCTCCCGCTCAGCCCCCCCACGTCGCTGGGCTTCTGCTGCCGAGCGTTGAGGCTGAAAGAGACGACGGTTTCCAGCGGCCAGCAGAGGGCGTGCCGCAGCAGGATCATGGACTGGTCAAAATACTCCGACACTAGAATCAGATTGAAGGTCTGGCGGATCATGGTCTCTGCCTTCTGAGCCACAGCCAATGAGAAGTTAGCATTGTTGTCCATACCGAAGTCAAACATCAGCAGATTGCGGGCGTAGTTGTTGCGGACCCGAGAGTCGTAATATCTGTAGGGGTTGTCAGCAAAGTCGCCCAAGCTCTTGGCTTTCCGAAAGGCAGGTGCCACCTCTTTGTAATAGGCAAAGGAGGACTCGGCCATACCGGCCGGGTCCCGGATGATGGAGAAGTAGAACGTGTCTGCAGGCATCACCTTCTCCACCTGAGGAAGAGGAGGATTTTGTGTTAAAATATGTGCAATTAGTTTACTACATTTACGCTACAACAGAAGATACATTTATTTGTTTCGCTTGTCCTGAGAGTGTTTGTGTAGTTGTCATCACTTTCTTGTTTAACCTGTTAAACCCTGAGCCTGTTTTTCAGGTTTCAGGCTCGAAAATGACATTCCCAGAACAAATGACTATAACTTCACTTCTAAAAGGTTTATATGAATAATTGTTGTTATCAAAGCAAGGTTGCATCTGTGAGTTGGATGTAGAAGTGTGTCAGAGTAAATTCAGATGGAACATAGCAAAAAAATGTAAATTCCTGTCTCCGCCTAAAGAAAACCCATTACTTATAGTGAAGACCAACCTTGAACGATGGGTTAGTAGCCTAAAAGCTTTAGGAATCCAAAGTATAACATATAATAAGTACCCTGTATCAAGATTGAGGCAAAACAAGTGACATTTGACCTTTTTAGAGAGGTTTATGAAAATAAAGTCCAGGCGGAATAAGCTTTGGGCACATTTGGGCAGATTTGGTTCCATCAGTGGCATTTGACCTTTTTCAGGTACCAGACTATAAAAATCATTGTATTACATTGAATCATCACTATAGGTATTCATTCCACCCAAAACAACAACAAAAAATATTTTAAAAATAAATATATATTTTTAATATTTTTGTGTGAGTGTGTGTGTGTAAGTGTATGTGTGTGTGTGTATGTGTAGGTGTGTATGTGTAAGTGTAGCTGTGTGGGTATGTGTAGGTGTGTAAGTGTAGCTGTGTGGGTATGTGTAGGTGTGTATGTGTAAGTGTAGCTGTGTGGGTATGTGTAGGTGTGTATAAGTGTAGCTGTGTGTGTGTATGTAACTGTACCAACGCACTATACAATAAAACTGCACTGTAGGTCATTGTGTGTAGGTGTACTTGCACAATAAAAAAACGGAAACATAGGTAACATTTGACTCCAACTGGGGCAGATTTATTTCAAACATTTTACCAACACACTATAGGCATGTAAAAACAAACATTTTACCAACGTACTATACAATAAAACCACACTGTAGGTTTGTAAAAACAACAAATATTTTACCAACACACTATACAATAAAATCACACTAGGTATATAAAAACAACAAGTATTTTTTTTTTTTAAATAAACACTCGCAAAACGTTATACCTACCTGAACTTTATACCTACCTGAATGTTCCAGTATTTAGGTCGTGCCACTCCCTGAAACAGTTCTTTTTTACAGTGAAGCACAGAGGGACCTGGCCCGTCCTGCAGTACACAGGTGTCTTCACCCTTTTGAGTCCAGCATCTAGGCACCTCCTGCAGTTCTTCCTGACCTTGGTGGCATCTTCCCCATAATACTCGGGCATGCATGTGAGTGGTGGAGGAGGGGGTGGTGGAGGTGCAGGGCCTTCAGCAGGGCCTTCAGCAAACTCCAACAATTCTGCAGCAAGCTGCTCCCTGAAAGTCTTCTGGGTGTGTGGCTTTGTCCTGCTGGGGTCACTCCTCATCTAACAAATGTGGAAAAACAAAGAGATTAGATTAATTCACTGGCTTATACTTATAGGATAATATTGGACTATAAATGAATAATATTACACCAAATAAATAAGTAAACACATGTATATTCATTTACTGGCCATTCATTTAGAAAATGTAACTCCAAAAAGACAAGTAACACTATTTAGCATTTTGCCTAATCATTCCTGTTGGCTAAGCTAACACTGTGATGCAGTTCCACCAAACACAAAAGTAATATATAAAAAGGATAATATTGGACTATAAATGAATAATATTACACCAAATAAATAAGTAAACACATGTATATATTCATTCACTGGCCATTCATTTAGAAAATGTAACTCCAAAAAGACAAGTATCACTATTTAGCATTTTGCCTAATCATTCCTGTAGCTTCTTGGCTAAGCTAGCACTGTGACGCAGTTCCACCAAACACATAAGTAATATATAAAAACAGAGATTACATACCTTTCCCGTGGTGGAAGTTCAACATCCGAGTCACTATTGTCCGGATCCAGGTCTGGCTGGAGGAGATCTTCATCATCCGACGAAGAGTCATCTGGTATGATCATAGCCCCGCTATCGTCAGCTAGCATCTCTAGCACCTGCTCGGTGGTGAAGCTCTCCCTTCTGGCTGCGTAATGCGTAATGGAGCAGGAGCGGGCGTAGTTTATACTATGCAGGATCATATCTTTGGAACCCATTGGTCGATTTGGGTGATTGACACCTTTTCTGAACCGTTAGAGCCAATAGAATCGAGTGACAGTTAGTAAGTCCCGCTAAACACTTAGGTCAAGTAGAGAGAGGTTTGCGTAAACAGCACGTGAGACAGCATTAGCTCTGGACTGCGAAACTTTATACCTACTCTGCTGCCATGAATGTAATGATAGATTATCAGGAACAATTCTAAAGTGACTAAGAGACATTGGATTAACCTTAAACAGCATTTGTATTCCCTTGAACAAGAGCTTTGATCACAAAACAGCAACGGTAAAACGTAATTATTGTTATGGTTTTGAAAACTGTTGTTTTTTTTCTTCTCTGTTCTGGCTGCTAGCTCAGTGAGTTTGTGTCCTACAGTGGTGATACTTATAAAAACATAATCTGTGGAGTATCAGCTTTCAGATGATATGTAGTTTGTGCAGAAAATATTACGTTTTAAAGATCGTTTTTGCTAGTTAGCACCGGAAGTAGCATCTGCCCGTTTTCGCTAAGTGCTAATGCTAACGCTTCTTGTGAGACTTGTGTTTTGTTTCGGTAAAAATGGTTCGTATCGTCAGTTAGCTGAGATTCTTCTCGTTAATCTGGTATAACACATTAATAGGTTTTTAAATATTAAGATGCCCTGAGACACAGTGTCGTGAAAAAGAAAAACAGGGCCCCCGCCGGCGGGGACCTTCGGGATTAACAGGTTAAAAATCTATACAGATATAAAAAGTAACAGGGAAAAACTATTATCTCCTGCATGTTAGCTAATCGGCGTGGGCATAAAATAAAGTAATGGATGTATTATTAATTTTAACTCAAACATTTATTAGAACAAGCTTTATTTCTTGCTATTAGGTTGTGAGCTAACATGAGTAGGATTGCATCATTCATAATAATAAGGATAACTGGTTTGAAAAATGATATTCTAATGTACAATCAGGGCATCTACTATTATGCAATTTTTTTCTTTTATACTTAAAATATATTCTTTGTGTTGTTGTTTATTGGTTTTTTTTTAAACTTTGCAATTGGTTCCTTCTTACATTTTTTTTAATTTAAATGTATACACATTGATTTCAAACAAAATATGTTTTTAATTCATTTTTTAATCTCTTTTTGTGTGTTTGATGTTTTAGTTATAAACAAAAGGTGACATATTTCATGAGGGAAAAAAAGTGATTATTAAGTTTTCCTAACAATGACACACATGGTACATTTATAAATGTATTCAAACCACTACAGAACATTCCATAATAATCATCCCCTTTGTCATTTCACTTCTCCCTCTGCTCTTATGAATGACTCACCTCAGGCTTATTAAATCTCATGTGATGGCCCAGGATGTGGAACTCCATGGCTCTGGGGCCTCGGTAACCTTTGACCCTATGAGCATTGAAAGGCAGTGGGTATCCGAACTGGTATCCCAGTGGGAGGGCGAAGCGGAGGTTGCGCTCGTCCCCGAAGCGGTACAGCATGTTGAGCACCGTGCTGCTGGCCGTCTTGTGGGTCTTCAGGAACATGATGTGGGTGTGGGGCTGACAGAAGCCCAGAGAGGGGCCCTGAGCATCAGAGGACAGGAAGATGGAGTGGCCAGCTGGATGCACACTGCTGGAGGAGGAGGGACAAATGTAACTTTAGATTAAATGTCAACTTCGTGTTTAAAATCCTACAAACATTGCAAAGGATAAAATGACTCCACCCCTATTTGTTGCATGAGCTAACAGGGGCTCAAGCATAAAGGAGGCCCCAAGGCTCAGACTTTCATGCTTGACTTTCTGTAGCCCTTCTAATTGTCCTGTTGTATTATTGGACTGGCGCAAGAATGAGCTCGCCGGTGAAAGTGAAGTTATTTGTATTGCCTTAACTGATATCCCTGTAACTTCACTTTTTCTAGCAGTAAGCGTACCTTTTACTTCCACTTTCACATTAAATTGACTCCTACACAGTCCCTGCCTGAAATGCCTCCATTTGACTCCTTTCTTTAATTATGTAACATAGTGACATCCCTATGTAACACTCACGCTTCGATTGGCAAGCACATTGTACGTGATAGGTTAAGGGGCGGGACACCTCTTAGCTGTGGACCAGAGCCGGCCAGCTACTGTAACCAATCAGAGCAGACTGGACTCTGGTTTCAGACAGAGGGTGAAAAGAGGTGCTGCAGCACAGGCAGTATGAGAAGAGCTTTTTGAACATTAAAGCATGGAGACACGTCACAGTAGAGGAACTAAATACTAATATGAACAGAATAGGGCCCCTTTAAAGCTGATTTTTTTTTAATTGCCCCGGACTCCTCTAGGAGCTATGTCATATTTTTGACCTGATGAGTTTGCAACCCTTACAATGATTATACACCAGTCAGAACATTAGACTGCAGTCATGAGTAATGCCCAAAACGTTGTAGCCCTGTGGCCCATACTACTTTAATGCAGCCTTAAGTGACTCCATGTAAGGTGAAAGTAGAGTTAAGGTAGTTATAAAACCACAGAGAAAAAAACAACAACTCTGTAGTAACTCCTCAGTCTACATTGCTTTTCAGACTTTGGGCAAACAGACACAGTTAGAAACTAGCAGGGGAACACAGAGGAGCATTTAGCAGCTAGGGATAAAGATACTTTCAACAGAAGACGGAAGAGACCAAACCAGAGCTGAAAGGATAGTTGATACTGGACTCATGAATCATGACCTGTCACTGCTGGATGTGTTAGTAGTAGGGCTGTCAGTCGATTAAAACATTTAACCCCAATAATCGCATGATTGTCCATAGTTAATCGCGATTAATCGCAAATTAATCGCACATTTTTTATCTGTTCTAAATGTACCTTAGAGGGATATTTTTCAAGTTTTTAATACTCTTATCAACATATGAGTGGACAAATATGCTTTATGCTAATGTTTATTATCATTTGAACAATGACAAATATTCTCATGAATATTAAACACAACAACCTCTGAACATTAGAAATATTCGCCTCAATTCAACCTGGAACATCTCTCATTCAATAATACAATACAAAGTGTGTGTGTGTGTGTGTGTGTGTGTGTGTGTGTGTGTGTGTGTGTGTGTGTGTGTGTGTGTGTGTGTGTTTGTGTGTGATGGATCGTTGGAGCTATGCAACTCAAGGCATATGCTCGAACGGGAGCTGCCTGGACGCTGCAATCATGTTGCGCACTATCCGTGCTGAGTGTGCTGACTTTCGTACAATGTCTCACTGTCTGCTACCTGCATAAAGTCAAGTGCTCGGCGCAGTTGTGGCGAAATGTCGCTCCTCTGTTTTCATTTAAACAGCTCCGTATATCCGTTAGCGCAGCTAGCTAGCACCAGGTGCTAACAACAACAATGCACGGAAGGTCTCTCTCGCTCGCTCGGGCCACACATACACACACCCTCCCGGTCCTCCCAACAGCCAGTCGGTGCCTGCCGGTGAGCGTGGAAGTGTGGTCTGCCGCAAGCGGACGGCAGGAGCGGGGCTGTCAGCATCAGCTTGTAGATGGTATTTTAAACTCGATGCGCTCTGAAACTACGGGCGGCCGAGGAAAAAAAATATACATGCGTTAATCGCGTTAAAATAATTAGTGGCGTTAATTTTTTTTTACTTGACAGCCCTAGTTAGTAGGCATTTATTTTCTAATTTGTTCAACAAAGCAATTTAATAAGGGGATAATATGTGAATTTTGACTGCTTTTCAGCTCCAAAGTTGCCCCAAAAAATCTATTAATGCAGCTTTAATTTAATCTGTGTGATGTTAATGTGCTTTAGGGAGTTTTTCAATAATCTTCTCATCTATCTTGCACTTATAATGTAAACTCAGAATAGAAAATGTTTAAATGATGATGATGATTAAAGACAGCAATGCATTAAACCAAATTCTTGAGAAAAAACAGTTATAATTTAACATTTTCCATTTATGTAACTATAAAACCAAAGACGGATGAAGAATTATTGTGAATTAAAAACACTTTTTGGGATGTTAGGGCCTGAGCAGTAAGTGCATGGATTAATTATCAAAGGGCATGTGCTTTATTATTTGGTAGCCATATCTAAGGGATTGGTATTCAAACGTCAATATTGGCACGGCACACAGTGAAACTCAACCTCAGTTCAGCTCTAGTGGGTAAGTCTGTTAGTAGGCAGCATCATTGAACATCCAGTCCTTATGCCCTGACCACACTGTAGAAATGCTGAGGGACTGCAACCTGAACCCCCCCTAGGGCCCTTGGATCCAGATGTTAGAGGACAGAGTTAAATGGAAAGCTCTACTTTAGGATTAATAATTTACTTCAGTATTATGTTATTAAAAATACATTCTGTACCAAATAGAGTCTATTAAAACATAATGTGCCCATAAATGGTATCTTAAAATAGAGCAACTGTACAAGAACTAAATAAAAAAGAACATCTGATTTCTCAGAGGCTAGAACACTTGGTACAAAGTTGAGCATGTTACCCATTAAAACGAAATGCTTGCACATTTTAACAGCATTAACAGCAAGAGTAATGATTACTGAACAGATTGTCCATTATAACCCTGAGCAGTCTTCTCTTTAACCTCATACCTCATAGTGCCCTTTTTTATCTTTTAAATGACAACTAAAAACAGAAATAAATAAAACATGTGGTAGGGAAACTACCAACACAGCTTGTGTCAATGAAACATATACATATTTCACACCTCATGCTGCTGAGAGCTCATGTTCAGGTTGTAACGACAAGATTCAAGCACATTTTTAATGTTAGAGTCTTCTCCTCGGCCAACACAGGCTGCTAGCAGATCTCAGCCTAATCTCAGTGGATTTTAGAGTGTCAGATGAACTTCAATTCAACAAGCATTAAAACCCCATGACAGCCTTGCTCTTCAGAGATCCCTGTTATCATCGCCTTCACATGCTGAGATGTGCGAAAAACACAAGAAATAGAGGAAGCACAAACAGGAATAAGAGTAATTTCAACCAATAAAGAGGGAATTATTGATTGAAACTTATCTTAGTGTGTTGCCATGACTATCTATGACAGCAAAATCAAGTTTGGTAAAAATAACTGTTAACGTTAAAAGGTTAACACGAGTAAGCAGCAGAATTTGTGACCATAATGTAAAAATAAAGCAGAAAAAAGTAACAAAATATAAGCGTATTTTTTGCGTAACTGACGTAAAGTCAAGTTCAATAACTAGCTGTAGTCACATGACAAGTGGTAAAACGGCTGTGCTGACGTTGTGTTTATTTGGAAAATTGGTCACCAGGCAGTGCGCTTAATGCAGTGGTTCTCAAACTTTTTCTGTCAGGCCCCACCTTTGGAGAAAAAGTCGGGCCCCCCCAACACAAGTCAGATATTTATTTTGGGGTGCTGTGGGGTAGCTTGACGTTTCACAGAGGGTGCTCAAACATTTAGGGTTTCCCATTAATGTACCGGTCGCTACAGTGGAATTTTCTACTGCAACACTCCCCACGCAAATACACAGTGTGACAGTTACAATGAAGGCTCAAGGCATATAGGTGTAAGCAGGGGCCTCACATAGGGGGGTCCGGGGGCAAGCTCCTCCGGGAAGATTTATTTTTAAATATTGAAGTTAAAAGCATCAATCTGGTGCACTTTGAGAGGTAAATGAAGAGATCTATGGATACCTCTCTCAACACCCATATGAAACAGAACTGTAAACAGATTTACTATTTCTTTATGTTTTTTTTTACAAATCACCCTTTTAAACTTTATTCTTGTTTTACATGTCATATTTCATACCTGTTTTTCATTTATTCTCTTATTTTTTTATAACTATAATGATCATATAAACGTGTGCCTCGGAAATAATTGTTTTCATTAATGGTGACCAAAACATTTGAGACCCACTGAGATAACACTGAGAGAGTCCTTTAGTTCACTGAGTCTCTCAGTCTGACAGGAGAGGACTCTCCTCCACCTTGTTGTTGAAAAAACTCCTTATATCCGTTAGCGTAGCTCGCTAGCACCAGAAGCTAACAACGATCTTCGGTTCTCTCTCTCTCTCTCTCTCTCTCTCTCTCTCTCTCTCTCTCTCTCTCTCTCTCTCTCTCTCTCTCTCTCTCTCTCTCTCTCTCTCTCTCTCTCTCTCTCTCTCTCTCTCTCTCTCTCTCTCTCTCTCTCTCTCTCTCTCAATTCAAAGGGGCTTTATTGGCATGAAAGTTAAATTAAACAATGTTGCCAAAGCATCACAATACAAAATAATTAACAACATTAACATACATTTCAAATGTTTACATATTATTGATGATATATATATACAGTGATACAATTACATTTCAACGTGTGTGTGTGTGTGTGTGTGTGTGTGTGTGTGTGTGTGTGTGTGTGTGTGTGTGTGTGTGTGTGTGTGTGTGTGTGTGTGTGTGTGTGTGTGTGTGTGTGTGTGTGTGTGTGTGTGTGTGTGTGTGTGTGTGTGTCTCATTCACTGTCCCTCAGGTTGTGGCATGTGTATACATATTGGGCAGCAAGATGTGCCTTGTCTCCTTCTCCTAAAAGTACTCTCAGTCTTGAGAGGTCATCAACCTCCTTGAAACCTGGGATTACAGAGTTCAACTTGTTCCAGTAAACGCTCCTTACTTCGTTGAATGTTTGGCACTTCAGGAGGAAGTGCATCTCTGTCTCAGTCTCACCTGTCGTACAGTGACCACATATTCTGTTCTCTTTTGGTTGCCAGGATCTTTTGAGTCTTCCTGTTTCCAGTCTGTGGTCACTGAGCCTGTACTTGGTTAGGATCTGTCTCTGCTTTCTATCTCTGACAGTAGAGAGATATTCTGCCAGCTCATACTCTCTGTTTAGAGCCAGGTAACATTCTAATCTACTTTGGCTTTTAGTTTCTTCTTTCCAATGTTGTAAATAGTTGTCTTTGCATTGTGTTATAATGCGTTTGACTGTGATTGGTGTTTGGAGAGCAGTGTTGCTGAGAGACTGGTCAGAGTGGCTCTGAGAGGGGGCAGCTAGCCTCAGCACCAGCTGATAGGGGACTCTTCTCTGGGGTTAGCTCTTGGCTTTGGAGGGCTTTGGAGTGGAGGGTGTCTCGGGGGCTGGATCTAAGATGGTTAAAGAATGTTAGTGCTCTCTTTTGAGTGTTAATGATCAGTGGGTATCTGCCTAATTCTGCTCTACATGCATTTGTTGGTGTTTTTCTCTGAACACGTAAAATGTATCTGCAGAATTCTGCATGTAAAGACTCTGTTGGATGTTTGTCCCAGTGGGTATAGCTCTGGTGACTGAGTGGACCCCATACTTCACTACCGTACAGCGCAATGGGCTGGATCACACTGTCAAAGATTTTGAGCCAGATTTTAATTGGAATTTGGACATTATAAAATGTTCTCTTAATTGCATTTAGAGCTCTTCTGGCTTTTTCTTTGAGTGCATTCACTGCCATGTTGAAACTTCCCGATGCTGTTATGGTTAAACCGAGGTAGGTATAACTCATACTATGTTCGATGATATGATTGTTTATGGTAAACTGGTATTTCTTCTCCTGACATCTGGGGCATTTTTGGAAAACCATGACATTAGTTTTTTTCATATTGACTGCCAGGGCCCAGTTCTTACAGTACTGGTCTACTATGTCCAGCTGTTGTTGTAGTCCTTGTTCAGTAGGAGACAGCAGAACAAGGTCATCAGCATAAAGCAGACACTTCACCTCTCTATCTAGGAGGGAGAGGCCAGGAGCAGCACAGTGATCCAACTGAACAGCAAGTTCATTTATATATATATTAAATAAAGTGGGACTTAAATTGCAACCCTGACGAACGCCTCTTCTCTGGGTGAAGAATTCAGTTTGTTTGTCTCCAATTTTAACAGCACACTTATTCCCTAAATACATTGATTTAACCAGATCGTACATTTTGCCCCCTATACCACAATGTAGAAGTCTATAATAGAGCCCTTCGTGCCAAATAGAGTCGAAAGCTTTTTTGAAATCAATGAAACAAGTGAATATCTTACCATGTTGTGTTTGGTGTACATGTTTGTTAACTAAAGTGTGAAGGGTATACACATGGTCGGTGGTGCAGTGTTTTGGAAGGAAGCCAATTTGATTTTTACTCAAGATGGATTGTTGGTTAAGGAAATCTTGTATTCTTTTATTTAGAATGCTACAGAATAATTTCCCCAGACAACTGCTGACACAGATGCCACGGTAGTTATTAGGGTCTGATTTGTCTCCACTCTTATGAATGGGGGAAATGAGCCCTTTGCACCAGATGTCAGGAAAACATCCTGACTGCAATACGATACTGAACAGCTTTAACACTGTCCCCTGCATCTCTGGGGTGCTGCATCTGAGCATTTCGTTTTTAATGTTGTCTGGGCCACAAGCTTTCCTTGGCCGGAGAGATTGTGTCTGTGTGGTCAATTCTTCCCAAGTCATTGGGAAATCAAGGGGCTTTTGGTTGTCTTTAATAGTTTCTTCTAATGTTTGGAGTTTCTCTTTTGTAATACATTGATTTGAATTCATTAGATTTATTGGTATGTCTTTGTACAAACTTTCAATATGTTCTTTCCAGATGTCACTGTTTTGGATGGGTAATGCTTGTGGTTGTTTTGTGTTGAAGTTGTTCCACAGATCCCAGAATTGATTTTGATCAATGGCTTTCTCAATATCCTCAAGTTTCATGTGGGTATAGAAGAGAGAGAGAGAGAGAAGAGTAAGAGTATCTCTCTATCCTATACTATCTATCTCTCTATCTCTCTCTCTCTCTCTCTCTCTCTCTCTCTCTCTCTCTCTCTCTCTCTCTCTCTCTCTCTCTCTCTCTCTCTCTCTCTCTCTCTCTCTCTCTCTCGTACACACACACAGAGCCAAGCTTTAATGAAACACAGAGACCCAGACGTAATAGTACTGCATCATATTATTTTCGAATCAATAATGTTTAAATTTATGATTTTCTTTTTTTTTAAATCTTTTTTTTTGCCATTTTTCCTCCTGCTCTCTCGCGCCCCCCCCCCCCCCCCCCCCCCTGGCATGCCTCTGCGCCCCCCACTTTGAGAACCACTGGCTTAATGTTCAAATTATTACGACTTTGACCTTGTGGATCGCTGACCTTTCCACGCGCAACCAATCAGATGACAGCGGTGCAAGCGGGCAGGGGATGTAACCATTGAAATGAAACTAACTAGCTGTTTTCACCGCAAGGCTCTGCCCAACCTCACGGGGAACTAAGAGAAAATGCCGTATGATGTAAATGAACAGTCCCACCGTGTGAGCTTAATCTGCAGATAATACATGGCAATTCAATTAGTAAAGATTTCGGTTTTTTAAGTACTGTAAATGAATATATTTGGGCTCAGAATGGTTGGTCAGACAATACAAAACGTTTGAAGACATCTTCTATGATTACCTTTTCAATTGGATAAACATAAATCGGCCATTAAATAAAAGGATTGGTTGCAGCGCTCAAAACACACTTACTAATAATATCTAGAACATAATCAAAATGTTACGCTGAGAGTGCTCCAAGTCAGTGTGTGAAAACAACTATTTATTTGTAATGTTTTTAAAGAGATGCTCCGTGATAAATTACAGAATCAGCACATTTAGATCCTGTATTGTTTTCCTCACTTCCTGGCAGTGGTTCTCGTGGTTGCCACTGTCACATGGAGAGGAAGCAGTTTCTGTGCACAGCTATTCACCGAAACATACTCAGTCTACCTTAATCTAAAAAAAACTCCCATTGAATTTTTTTTGTATTAACGCTTATTGTTTAGGTCCTTTGATAAGCAGGCAGTCATATAATTAACTAGAACTAGCTAGATCTGACACTTAGCTAGTTGATCTACTCTGGAACTAGCTAAACTATACATATATTTATTCTTTACTGTCGGGTCACTTATTACAGGTTCAGCGAGCTGCACGAGACTGACGGGCTGTGAGGAGAGGGAGAGGAAAAGAGAGCACCCCGTTTATTTTTCCCATTTTATTATCCAGAGTTTCTGTAAACTTTTGAATAAAGTAGTTCATCTATTAGTAGTAGTTTGTTTAAATGCATTAATTATGTTTGTTTTTTTCATTAACATAAAATAAATCTCACGTACCCCCTGCAGTACTCCAACGTACCCCTAGGGGTCCACGTACCCCCATTTGAGAACCCCTGGCTTAGAACATCAATTCTCTTCTGTGGTGAATTGAAAAAAGTATTATGCCTACTCAAAATAAGTACATATGCTTTGCAGACTGTTACTTACACTCAATTAAGTCATTCAAAAATAGAAGCTTATTTTTTCAATTGATTCCAATGAGAACACTCGGAAGCGGTCGCCCCCAGAAAAAGCAAAGAGCCCGGCGTCTTTTTTCTGAGCGCTCCGCCTTTTCTAGTCTGTAGAAATTGCATGAAAAGCTTTATTTTGGCAATGCGGGTCAGACGAAAATGATCACAACAAAGACAGAAAATGTTGGGTTTTTGGAGCAGATTTGCCGGGTGGACACCGGATGTTGCTGCCGGTGAGTGTGTGGCTTTTATCGTCCTGAGATCAAGTGCTCCTGGTGGTGCTTATAGTGAAAAACAATGTAAAAAAAACTGTAGTAGCACAAACAGAAAAAAACAACAACATTGACATATTGACATGCTGTCAGCGCCTTACTGCCAGAAAGAAACGCTATATGGACACGGAAGATAGGTTGATTCTTTTATGCGAAATTGAACCTCAACACATCAGATGTACTTGTTTTACCCGCTTAGTCAATGGTTTCCATAGCGTAATTAAAGCTTAATTTGGGGAAAATGGCAACATTTAATTTGAAAGTTTAAATCGGCCGATACTGATGTTATGCCAATATCATCGTGCATACCTTCTTAGAACTGCAATGTAAAATAAACAAGTTGGATCACAGAATCATTTAGTAAATCAAAATACAGTAGATACCTCTTGTTGAAGATGACCCCCAACAGTTGGACAGCGAAGGCGATAGCAACGAAGAGCAGCAGCGCCTTCCAGATCCAAACTGTGCCCACCCGGCCACACACCAGCCACCGCAACATCCTGGGGGGGGGGGCAGGGGGAGGAGGCGATGGATGGAGTTAGGTATAGAAGGGTGAGGCAAGAAGATTAAGGAGAAGGTGAAGAAAATGATGGTGGAGAGGAGAGGGGAGAGAAGGATGATGATGTTGTTAATGGGGGACAAAAAAAGGTGGTGGTGGGTGGGGAAGGGGAGATGATGTTTTTGAGGTGGAGGAGGGGGACGTGATGTCATGTCAAAAGAGCGATGAGGAAATGAGGGTGGAGGAGGTAATAAAGGGGTGGGGGAGGCAAAAGAGAGGGTAGAGAGAGAGGGGGAGATTTGGATGAGTCATAAAGTAAACATGAATAAGGCTTCATCAGCATCAGCCTGAAAACATCCACAGACAAGAGGACCAGCCTACACTGAGAAACTGACTTTAATTAAACGTATTATGTCAACAGATTTCACATAATTGTATTAGGTTAATTGAAAGCAAATATATTAAGTTGAACGTATTATTTGGTATTTAAACTTGATAATATTGCGTTAAACTAACCTAATACAGTTATGTGAAATCTGTTGACCTAATAAAGATAACTAATGCTGTATATACAGTAGTTCGGATATTGCAGTTTCCGACCAATGTGTCTGCTGATAAAGTCGTATTATCACACGTTTTTTTATCCACGGGATGTACGTAAACTTTGACCATGTCATTCTTAATAACTGCTTCCGCTCTGATGTGTCGGGGTCATCCGGATACACTTCAGTGCACGGCAGCATAGTGGCAAAAAGGGAGAAAATAACTGTCCAATCAGAACGGAGGATGTGAATGACGTGCTAAACACGGACATGACTGCTAGCCTCGGGCCGGAGAGGAGAAAGAGAATGTGTGTGTGTGTGTGTGTGTGTGTGTGTGTGTGTGTGTGTGTGTGTGTGTGTGTGTGTGTGTGTGTGTGTGGGTGTGTGGGTGTGTGTGTGTGTGTGTGTGTGTGTGTGTGTGTGTGTGTGTGTGTGTGTGTGTGTGTGTGTGTGTGTGTGTGTGTGTGTGTGTGTGTGTGTGTGTGTGTGTGTGTGTGTGTGTGTGTGTGTGTGTGTGTGTGTGTGTGTGTGTGTGAGAGAGAGAGAGAACAGGGAGTACAGGGAGGTTAGGTCATAATGACCAATGCTGAAAATGAATGAACAGGAATGTGTGGCATTGTGATGAAACATAATTGATTCTCCCTTTTTCTTTTCTCTCTTCAGTTTGCAGCAGTATTGTCAAAGCTAAGAGACAGGGAGACAGTTTGACATGGGGAAATTACATTTCCTGCTGTATTTAAACAGTAACAAGTGAACTATCTGTACTCAGTGGTGCAGGACGAGATCTGTTATGGCGCATTTCCACTGCAGGGCCTTGCACGGCTTAGTACGGTATAGTTAGGCCTTGGTAGGCCAGGCTCACTTTATGCTGCTTTTCCATTACAGTTTAGTAGCTGGGGCAGTAATTATAGTAACACAGTGTAGGCGGAGCCGTGACGTCATCTTCAATGCGAACCACAAAACCAACACAGCCGTTAGCTGTTAGCCCTCAGAGCTCACAGCTCCTCATATCTGTTCAGAAACTAGACAAAAGTTAAACAAGTACAAACCACAGACTGTCTGTGTCATGGTGAATACAGTCGCTGGTTTATTTATGTCTGTAGGCCGTTGTTGTGAGTGTGGACGGTCGGAGCATATACAACGTTAGCTTAGCCGATCTCCATTCAGAAAACATGCACAGAACCACGATTTTGGAGAGCCAGAAAAACTGTGAAAAAGTACCCGTTAGCCGGCACTACGCCAAGTGGAAACGCAACCAAAAACGGGCCGGGTTTGGCACGCACGCTTAAACCGTGCTACGCGCTGCAGTGGAAATGCGCCATTACTGATGTGACATTTCAACCCAGAAATGATTATCTTAAGATGATCGATGGCTATACTGCCATATTTGCAAAATGTGCCTCTGAACCTTGACAAGTGCATGTTTCAGGCTTATCAATTAACAACAGGAGGGGTCACAAACATAAGACCCGCTGTTAAATAAAGCTCTTCTGACCTTAGCTGGCATGTGTGTATATATTAATGCTGCCCATTATGGGCACAAGCAATTTTCACCCATTTATTAATTATATGTTTTAAATTTGAGTGTGTCCTATCCCCTAAACCTCCAGGGATGTACACAGTTTAATACTGGCAACTTATTATTATGGGAAATACGAAAACGTCTTTTAAAACTACAACTCCCAGTAGAGACGTGCCATAGAACATGTTGCGAAACACAATAGCCAGCATGTGTAGTTCTGGGGACGGGGTGGGGGAGGGGGGGACGGGGTGGACCCGTTCAAATCCAGTTTTGGACAGTCTGCCGTGGTTCCATCCCACTTCAAGTGCTGTTCGACGCTCGGCACACTCTCCAATCACAGAGCTTGAGGACTATCACGGGGTTTGTCAAGCGAAGCGGAGAGAATACTTACTTCCGGGTGTAATATTCTGTAAAGCAAATGAGCTGCTCCGACCCTCGGTCCTGACGGACTCCAACTTGTGTTGCGGATTTTGTTAAACTAATATGTTTGCGATGTGGACCAACACTATACATTGACGGGGAAGGGGGTAGCAATAAAGATAACACGATTAAACAGTTACACAACATAACACAAATAATATCGATAGCAGCATCCCTAGCAACCACCTTGGTGACAATGAAAACGTTGTATAGACACAATTTCCTGAAGTAATCTTCGTAATAACTAGCAAACTAAAGATCATGTACATCCACTGCACACATAATCTGAAATAACAACTCATATTTCTCACATCAAATGACATCAAAATGCATTTTAATGGCCAAACTAACTTTAAAATAGGCATTTTACACCGAGAATAAAACGAAGTTCGGCCATATTTTTTTTTTTCTGCAGGGAGAAATTTGAAGATCACGTGACATAGACGCCAGCCATTGGAATGAATGGTGAAAAAAAACGTAGGGATCTTACAATTTCAGAGGCATTTTTGTAGAAATACTACGTCCTACGTTGTGGACCAACGTAGTTATTACACGTTTTTTTATGAGACTGGGTTGGACATTTGCATACGCCAATGAAAATGGACATTAAGAGATATATGAGTTCTGTGCTGTGACGCTGCTGCCCTACACAAAGAGGAAATCAGCCGCTAAACACATATCGATGCAGTGGATATGACCTGCGTGTCATTCTACCATTGTTGTCTAGACCTATTCAAACCCTTTATGACTAATTAAAGTCTATATTAGTTATTTAAGAAGCTCCAGTGTATGTTTATTAGCTTTTCAGACCACTTGGTAAGAAATTAGAGCTCAAACTGAAGTCCCTAACTTACTTGTGCAACAAAAGTAACTTCAAACTATTTGTTATCCTTATCCTAGCTTTCTAGGCTACATACAATTTAATTTAGGGACAAGCCCCAAGAAATATATCAACAATGTAACAAGCTGGCTGCTCTTTCTTGTTGGTTAGAGTTAGATTTGTTCTATTTTATACTGATAATTTATCTAAAAAAAAAAGGGTATTTAAGTTGACAAAATGATATTAAATCAATAAAAACAAATAATAATGACTATTAGTAATGGTAAATATTGCATTCTTATTTTTTTTCTTTACTTGGATCAAGAAACAAAAACTCTCACAATAAGTGCATTGTTGTGAAATACATTTATCAGGTCGATTGTGGATGTCCTCAAAAAATTATATTTGACTTTTTCCACTATATTTGTCTTTGTATTGTCTTAACAATTATACTACAGATTAATCCACACTGATAATGTGTATATTATGAAATTGGGTAATCATACATAGTAAACATGTTGTAAAGGGTGAGCTATAAAGGAACGCACTTCACTGTGGGCTGAAACCAGAGTGTCAATAAAACACAAGGTGGTGTGGCTGGAGACTTGTCTCCTAGCAGATGTACTGTGTTTAATGTGTGGGGTGTTATAGCTGTGGTGGTGATCACTCACAGAGCTCATGGAATAAACAAATATATTATAACCACATGGAGAGCAGGATAACATCATGATATGTAAATAATGGGTGGTACGGACATACAATAAGAGCGGTGCTACACACAGAAGAATAAGCAGGGGCCACCACCCACCCACACAAAGGAGCCTTCAGTCTGCATCACACACACACACACACACACACACACACACACACACACACACACACACACACACACACACACACACACACACACACACAGGCTGTAAATGCACAAATAAATATTGCACATGGAAGGCCTTTGAAGCAGCCCTCCTCCACCCACACCTTCTCCTCTTTTTCCTGCAGGATCACAGCGCAGCGCCACCTTTTCATTCCCCACAATATGTGCATCTCTGCAGACCCCCCCCTCCACCCTCCACCCCCCAGCTCCGACTCTTCATAATTTCCATCAGATCGTTACCTGGCTCTCCGTCTGAAAAGCATAGCTGAGTCTCCAGACCGGTATCGGTGACGGTGTTATTGTGCAGCGGAATAGAGCGCGGAGCATCTGGAAGGCACCAGCCGCAGCTGACCCGCCGCCGGTACCGATCAGGCCATGGACCCGGGGAGACCCGCACGGAGCCCGGACCCGGGTTCTGGAGGAGGCGGGAAGAGGCTTCACTCCTGCCCGGGGCTCTGACCGAATTTATCTGCCTGTGCACCACCGACAGTTCTATCAAATTTCTGCCGGGACGACGGCCGACACACACAGGGAGAACTGAGATAAAGAGAGCGTGAATATGAGCGTCTAGTACTTCCCGGACACCTTCAAAATAAAAGCATGTTTACGGATTTGCAGGAGACGAGTCCGAAAATCCGGAATTTTGAATCCAAAAAAGGTCTCCACTTTTGTTTGGGTTACTTGGATTGTTATGTATAGGCCTATATTTATATCTATACATTGTATAGGCCTATATTTATATATATACATTGTATAGGCCTATATTTATTATGGATGCCAGAAACTGATCATGATCAAATTCGAAAATCGGACAGCCCTGGCGAATATTAATCGATTATTCTCCGCCGCTGCCGCGAAAATAATTTTCGATTATGGAGACTTTAACGAATATTCGAAAAATCGAATAATCGCTGGCATCCCTAATATTTATATCTATACACTTCCAGGAATAAAAAGCTAGAAGGAACTGCGGTAGTATTCATTTATTTATTTGTTTATGTATTGATTTACTATTATTTTGTTGGCCTTATCGCAGTAAAACAAATGTAGGCCTACCAATAATATTGTAAATTACGATTATATAAGATTTATGGTTTGGTCTAAGAAATGTCTGAAATTGGCTAAATAAATCCATTCCAGATTCTCAAAGTTCAAGATAATGCTCATTTATGTCAAAGATATTTAGTTGAATATGATACAAAACAGAATAAAGTAGGACAACACTATATTGAAGAGGTTCAAAACTGTTTTTTCTGATATTTTAGCATGACACAATTAATCAAACGGTTATCGGATTGTCAAAAAACCAAGCAATTTGTTTTAGGTTCATGACTAATTATTGCAACTTTAAACAATAATGGAATCAACAGATCCTGTTGTTGTTTAAAAGCCTTTACACTTGTTATTCTAAATGATTAAGTTCCCAAAGTTCGTGGTTTTATTTTGAAGGCAAAGTGACGCTGATGGAAGTGAATCACGAGAAAAATATTTAAGAATACATTTAGTCCCCTAGGTGGACATGATGTATGGCCCTACCTCATCGCCTGTTAAAGTCATGTTTTGCCATTGGAGCGCAATAAATAACTATTATTTCACACAACAATGTAAATGTGTTGCTGGTGTGCATGTGTATGTGTGTGCACAGTATTGTGGTTGAACTAATGCATGCATATCTGTTTATTTAATTACATTGTGTTATAGTATTTGACAAATATAGCCTATTTATAAGAACATATGGCCATACATCAAATGATGAATGTTTATATTAAAAACATTTTAATTTAAATATACATTAATGTCTGAATTCTGACTTGAATCTCTGAATTCTGAAATGTTGCTGCAGAACAAGTACTTTTATGTTAAGAATGGATTTAATGTAGCACCCTGAGACGGCTATATATAAAATGGACTGACCTGGAGTCCCCATTGAAAGGAATGGTGGTACAGAGATCCTGAATAGTAACGGATGTGAGAGGTCTTCTTTTAATAGCTGACCTTTGTTTAAGTCACCACAAAGCACCAATTGACATAAGCCTGGGAGAAGGAAGTGTTGTTATTGTTGTAAAATAATAGGGGGAAGAAGGACTCAGATCTTATCCTTCAGTAAAAGTTTCAATTCCACAGTGTAGACATACTCTGTAACAAGTAAAAGTTCTGCAATCGAAATGTTAGATAAGTAAAAGTATAAAAGTATTAGCATCAAAATATTATTACATATACACTTTATTCAAAGTGGTCATTTTCAGAATATAATATATCACTGTAGTATAATTAGTGATGCATTCACAATTCACATGTCTATAATTTGAATGTTGCAGATGTTAGAGGACCAGAACACATACATAACTTCTTATACTGCCAGATAACTCTATCCATACAGTATATTCAAGTATATTATTCAAATTGTATTAATAAAATGTACCTGCAAAAGTAACTTATGCTTTCAATTAAATGTAGAGGAGTAAAAAGTACAATATTTGCTGACAAAATGTAGTGGAGGAGAAGTATAAAGTAGCATAAAGCGAGAATACTCAAGTAAAGTACAGTACTTGAGTGAATGTTCTTACAGTAGTTACTTTGCACAATGGAAAATAATAATTCAACTTAATGTCTGCAGGACAGCAAAAAATGTAGAACTTTTTCTTTGCCTATTTCACCTCCAGGATTTGAAGCGGAAAATATTGTGAGAGCAGTGAAGTCATTATGTTTGATATTGTATTTTCTCTTTATTCTTAATATGGCTTTTGACCGCTGGACCTTTGCTCTAATGCAGTATTGTTATAAAGGACTTTAGTTATTCAACACCTCACAAAAGCAGCAATATATTCCCAACTCTTTGGCTCGAATGTTGGGACGATTTAAGCTGGAATACAAATTCAAATGTCTGGCGTCATGTTTTGTCCCCCTGAGAGTATTCTTTCTCCCTGCAGAGTTGAAGTGCAGTTGAGCTGTGCGGGTCAGAGCGGCTGCTGTTCAGTAACCTCACACTGCAGCTGTTAACACACATCATCTTTTCACCAACTGCTCACTGCTGCTCACACGCAGCCGGCTGCTTATTGACTGCTGAACACTAGGTTCATCAATGTAAATCAACATTTATCTTTACACAGGGAGATGTTATGACACACGCTACTTCGCATTTGTTTACAGAATATTTAAAGGGGACCTATTATGCAAAATCCACTTGTTCCTGTCTTCTACATAAGCATGTGTCCCCTCTGTGGAAAGAGACTCTGAAAGTTTCAGGGAAAAAGATTCTCTCTCTTTTTGTCCTGATCCATTTCTATAAAATCCTGTCTGAAAATGAGCTGATCAGATGTTGGCCACTTTATGATGTCATAACGATGCTTTGTCTTGTGTAACCATTAGCCAATCACCAACCAAGGTAACCCCCCCCACCTTATCACCTGCATCTCCTCCTAGAGCACCATTGTGTTCTTTCTAACCAAATCTCTCTCATGCGGCTTTCACACCAGCGCTTTTCCTTTTCTAGCTCTGAGCGGGAGCTTTTCTGGTTCAGCTCCGGTTTCCCTTTTCTGCTCCCGCTCTGTTCACACCGCCCAGAGCTGCCGCTGCTGCGTCATGACGTCACCGTTTACGTGCCTGCTTCATAAAATCCAAACCGCGCGGAAATCACTCACATCGACAACAACAACAATGGCCGATTGTATTGAAGCGCTGTTCGCTTTGGTTATCCTCTTACGAAACAAAATGGAAGGCATCAGACGACTTTACAAGGGACGACTTTACTTGGAACTTTACAAACATCACATGCGAAATGCAAGACTTCTTTGTGGTCTTCAGCATCTACTTCAACGACGAATCTGCCCCTGCCCCCGCCTCGACGTAAGAGAGACGTAAGCGACGCCGCCTCTTAGCTCCAAAGCTCTTGCCTCTAGACCGACAATTTTTTGGAGCTGGAAGTGAACCGGATTCCGGAGCTAAGAGGCGGCGCCTCTGCGGTGTGAACAGGAAAAACCGGTACTTTTCAGGCTCCAGCTCCGAGCCAGAGCTGAAAACGCGTTTGTGTGAAAGGGGCATCAGAGGCGCGTGGGGAGGGGCTCCTTATTTTCATCTAAAGTAACAGACAGAGAATCAGCACTTTGGAAAGAGGGCTGAAACAGAGGGGATCATGGGATGCTGCAATGCACGATCTGTTTGGTATTTAGAGCCAAAAACTTCAGAGACATGTTTGTATCTGAGACCTATAATATATTGATAAAAAACAGTATAATAGGGGACCTTTAACTTATTTCTAAACGATGAACTACATGTTAAATGAAAAAGATATAATTTACATAAGCTCATAATTTTCATGTAAATCATGTCATCTTTATCACTATTGAAACACTTGTTTTTACAATTGTAATTACCAATGCATTACTAACTTTCCTTAAAATCAAAAAATCCAGAATTTAAACTCACAATGGTTGTCCAGTCTGAGTGAAGGTTGGTAAAAAATGCTGAAGGACATTTGGGCATTTTAAAAAATAGTCTGTGGTCCGATGACACACAATTAAACAATCTTTGGCATCAGGTGCCAGCTAATGCTAATATCATGTTAAGTTAAGATAATTAACAACTAAATATAGAGATATAAAGAAGCACACAATTTCAGCTTGTGGTACAGATGTGAGGATCAAAGGATACAGGGTGTCATAATTTGCTCTGAGACAGAAGATGTAATGCTATATACATAAATGGTAATGACAACGTCAGCACACAGGCTTGGAACTATTCTTAACTATTCTGTAAAGCGTCTTTGAGCACCTGTAAAAGCGCTAACAAATTAAATCTATTATTATTATTATTAACAACTCATTTTAAAAATACAACTAGTTCTGACTTCCGTTTTGACTATAAAAGTGTTTCACATGTGGCCTTAAATGTACTTACTTTACAGAGATAATGGTTTTAGAAAAAAAACACATAATAAACATTTGAAATGCAAAACATTGTCAAAACCTGTTTAGTGCCTCAATAGGTACAAAGTATTTGTGGAAAATAGGACATTTCACTGCAGAAAAATTACTTTTATGTTAATAATATATTACATTTAAAGTGAGAGACAAGCAATTACATTACATTACATTACATTACATTGCATTTAGCTGACGCTTTTATCCAAAGCGACTTACAATAAGTGCGTTCGACCAACAAAATACAACTTGAAGAAAACAGAATCATATAAGTACATCAGGTTTCATAGAGCCAAACATTTCAAGTGCTACTCAACTGGCTTTAGGTAAGCCAGTCCTTTATTAGTATAAAAGTGCTTCGTTAATAGTTCTATCGCTCGAAGTGGAGTCGAAAGAGATGAGTTTTCAGTTTGCGCCGGAAGATGTGCAAGCTATCTGCCATCCTGATGTCAATGGGGAGCTCATTCCACCATCCTGGAGCCAGGACAGCAAACCCACGTGTTTTCGCCGTTGGGAACTTGGGTCCCCCTCGCAGCGAGGGCGCAGCGAGTCGTTTGGCTGATGCAGAGCGTAGTGCACGCGCACTTACTGTATATACTGTATATAATTAACTTAAACTTGATAATAAAGTGTCGTTAAT